TAATCACATGCAGGAAATGTTTTTTGCATTTATGTATCTCCAACATTTCCATTCAAAACATGCAACATTTACTGAACATTTTCAAAAATTGTTCATATATATTTAGACAATTTTTCATTTTCAAAATTTTGATATTTCCAAAATATTTTCGCAATTTTTCCCCATAATTTACTATAATTCGTTTCAAAAACAAGTCAAAAACAGATTCTGTACAAAAAATGACACATACTGTGTGTGATATTGTTTGCACTGTCCAACAAATAAGGTTACCGATGGATCTGATCTAAAATTTGACGTCGAAGTTGTCTTTGCAAAATTGAGATTGTGAGCCTACCAAGATTCCATGAATGGGGGACGCATCACTTCTATCATTCTGTTTTGTAAGGTTATGTTTGTTTGTGTGTTTACAACATTGAACTATATACCTACTCGTAACTGGAAGGGAAACAAGCATATTACTAGTGAAGCCAGACGAGTGGTAGTATCTTTATCTCTCTCACACTAGTAACATTAAATTCATTGACATAATTTTTCTATTTCACTTAAATTCATACAGTTGTATTTTCTGCTTCTATCAGGTGTGCTAATAAACAAACTGCGCACGATCCAGTTACATTGTTATAGTTCAATGGTTTATGGCCAACTTCGACGTCGAATTGATTCTTGCATCACAGTAGGCTGTCAACAAAAGATTATCTTATGGCCGTTTGCACCCACAAATTTAAGCAGAGCTTAGGTTAAGCATAGCTTAAAATCCATGGCAACCATTGTCTCAATATCATTGCCATGGATTTTAAGTTACACTTAAGCTAAGCTCTGCTTTTATTGGTCGGTGCAAATGGCCATTAGTCATGTTGAAGTGACAATGTATTCGTGAGTTGTCGCATGTACAAATGTCACTAAATGACATTTCAACCGTCATAGAAGTGTCTTGGTGGACTGTAAGAAGCGTTTTAGAGCAAGAACAGAAGGGACAACGATCTGCAAAGGTGTACAGATGGTTCAAGGGTAGCTTGTCATTGAAAACTGCGATAGATTCTGACATATCCTGTGTGTGCTCCATGAGAAAATTGGGAAAGGTACATAGTACGAAAAATTGTAAAAGAATATTGTGGGGATGAAGTTATGATGACGAACCACATCCGAGACCTGCAAGTCAAACGATACCACCAGATTTTGAATTTTCTTAAGCGGAAAAATCACGTGATACCATTCACGGATGGAAGCAGTTGATTTCGTATCCAATTCATGATCCCTCCTGGTAAAGCGAAAAGTACATAAGGCATCCTGCCTGTGTTATAGTTTTTGGATCGGGTAGCTTCGAATGGTAAAAAGATGAACACTAAAGATGAACCGCAGTGTTCATTCCAGAAGTGAATTCAGAAGTGTATATGAGTATGTTCTTCCATGGGAGTGTAAGGTAATACGGACCAGATCCGAATGTGGCACTGCACCAAGACGGGGCTCCATGCCATACCTCAAACTGCACACAGAAGTCGCTGCAAGAACATCTGCTGTTCTGTGCGAAAGATATGTGGCCACTCCTGCTCTGATCTTAATCCACTGGCACGTCATTGTTCCAGACGTTGACTCATATCTAGAGACAAATGAATCTGAACTATGTATATCTTTAAAACCTGTTGCACTTTCTGGTGACAAGACCTTAATTGCCGCAAATGGGAATTCAATTGATTATTAGTATTGATTTAGATGTTAATAAACATGTATATCCTTTTTCTAAATAAATTGAAAAAAATCACCGTTCAATGGTGGAAACACTATCACGTTCTTGTAAATAGGTTGTCAGTACCTGAATAAACCAATTATGTAAAAAGATGTATATAGTTGTTCAATGAAATTGCTAATGAATCTAATTGCTAGTCATCCCACATACTGATGCCTACTTGGCGCTTGGTATCGACCCTCCCCTTTTCAATGGGTAATATCGCTGGTTGAAATGATCGTATATGGTAAGTAGTGACGTTCAATGTACTTGTATGAAAAAGGGCGTTGTACTTCACAGAAACAAAGCCTCCCACATTTTGTCTGGATTTTCTTCACTCAGACCTTTGATTCTCTTTTAAGTCCTTATAATTCATTAACCTTGTCGTATTTTCAGTCGACCTTCCTTAATTATTTCACTTTCACCATACGATATTATTAGTTTACATTTTGAGAACATGTTTTGTTATTGTAGGTGTTGCGGTATTTAATCGTTTTTACGCGTTTTATAATGATTATAATATTAGTTTCTCTCTTGTTGACCAACCGACACAAGCGAGTTTAAATAATGTTGCATGTTTCAATTTTACTTTTCACATTGTTATAAATTAATTATTGCCGTGGAACACGTTTACGTAATCGAACTAGAAATCAAGCGAAATGAGCTATGTGACCATCGCTTTTATTTTATCACATCGGTAATTAACGCTTAAAAAATTCCACGTTAATTATTAATAATTGATCTTTTGAAATTATAAGAATATCCTGTTCTTTCATTCTTCTGTGGGTACAGGAAAAGTTGTGGTTTGAACTTTTGGGGTAAATTTGTTTTATCCTAAGCTAGCTGATGTAAAAAAATCTGCTTGATGGACGGAGCATACTGTAGCGATAAATTAGCAACAAATTGCTATTAGATTTATAACAAAATGCGCCGGTGAGAGTGCAAAGCTAATGGACATAAATTTCCGTACCCGAATCCGGATTCCACATGGAGTCAAGCCACTCCCGCTAAATGTTGACCAATTTAAGAGACCAGTTTCACAAACCACAAAATTATAAAAACCCGAAAATTCAAAAATCGCATGCCACTAGATTTTAATAATATTGATCAAAACGCAATGACAAGTGGTTGCGTGTGTTACGGGATTTAAATATTGGACCAATAAAAACTGTTCATTTAAATATGAAATAAACCTTCTGTCCGATTACTATTAAGGGTGCCTTGAGATCTGAAGTGATTATTTTGCGAGACAACCTTATATGGACGGCCTGCTGCTCTTATTTTTGACGAAATTAACAACGGAGACCATTGGTAACATGTTTGTTTGGTTGGTGAATGTTAAAAAAGGAACGAAGTGTGCTCCCAAATTAATTACGTTTTCGAATTCAGCAGTTGCATAATCGTTTACCATATACAGCTAATGATTTTAATTATTATACTCGCTCGAGCTGTAACAGTTTAATTGAAAAATTTGTTAATTGTAATTATTACAAATTTAAGCGGTTCGCAATTAAATAGTGCGCGATTAATGTTCATTTCCGCATTTCTTATTGTTGCTAAAATTATCTTGGCGCGTATAAGATTTCTTCTTGAAAGTTAAATTGTTTCATAGTTGAATAAACGTAATTAGTTTGTAGGTTGAGGTCTTGGTTCAACGGGGTTATTGTTTTGGTGCGAAGTGAATCATGGTTGAGAAATTTCGGCCTTTTTTTGGACGAATAAAAAAGAATTTTTTGCAAACTACTCGTCGAAGGTAGGCTAAGAACTCCTCCCTTTTGGTCACTTTCACTGGTGGGGTTCAAGAGTAATGCTAATGGTTCTCTGGTGCGAGTAACGCGACCACGGCTTTAGTCGTGTTAACGCTCTTCTATTGTCTTATCGGCGTGTGCCTCAAGTGAATTTTATACCCATTGTGATTGCGTTCGTATTTCTTGTTCGTGAGTCATCAAGGTCGCGAGTTTAGATTGAAAATTAATTCGTGAAAAGGAGAACAAAGTGACAACCGTTCATTTTACTCGTTTTTTCAGTTTTTAGTCAGATTTTGTTTTAAAGGTTAACGTCTTCCGATGTAATAATATACAATCGCCTACGTTTGGACAAATTAGGAAGTTGAAATTCGACATTGAAAATTGCGGGCAAAACTCGAATGTAACGCCCCCAAAGAAATTCCTTTAATTTATCTCTGCAACAATGAAACAGTATTTTTCTACAGTAACTGTTTAACGTTCGTGCTCCAATTAATTTAGTGTAATAAGTGTTAAAATGTCGACTGTCTGCAAACCGGTCGCGGTTTTTCAAAATTCAAAAAACCAATTTTCGAATAATTACTAACCTTGTCCTAAATAATTGAAGCACACTGTGAGGTCTTCAGTGTTATTGCAGCCACAATCCCTTTTATGGGTAGTCAATGATTATTATTACTGTCGGGTTTTTTTTTGTTCTATTCGTATGGGTTTTAATAATGTTCTTATTCGTACTTGTTTTTCGATCAAATAAATGGCGCGAATTATGTGTGCGTTGCCAAAGTGAAAGTGCTTTGTATCAAATGATCTAAAATAAGTCGGAAACGAGATTTACATAATATTCGGGAATAAAATGGTTACGCCGGGCTTCTGCTACAATGCGATGCATTACGAATTTTCTCAGACTCAAAATAGACTTCTACCAACATTACACGAAATGTCCAGATTACGGATACAATGTTCTGAAGAACCTCCCCACGATGTTCCTGTTATATACGTTGCAATGGCCAGTTGGATACCAAAATGCAACATGTATCAGTATAAGTATGTCAAAGTCGTTTTGATTTTACTTGAAATGCGATCACTATTTATTACGTCTGAATTATATCGGTTGTAAATTTTCAATGAAATTCATTGCGCCAAATGGTAATGCACCCAACGGAAAATCGCCTACTTTCTTAAACTAATTCTACCAGACATTTAATTAATATTCTACACATGTTCTGCACACATGTGTAAACAAATGCTGCATCCATCGAATACCAGTTTTTTGTCCGAATATGGAAGTGAATGTTTACATCATTTTTAGTGCCATTTTTATGTTAATTTGTTTTAATTATGGCGGAGATCCCCCTCAGACCGAAATACAAACATGCGCTTAATTTCATACAAAATTTCTTAACCCAGGTAGGTGACGTGTCAATATTATCTTAGTCGGTGTGATCGTTTATTTTGTTTCATGATTTTATTTTGGTCTCTGGATGATCATGTGTGGATCAGAATACCGATCTTCATCATGCGATCTGTTTTTCCAGCCCAGAAGATGGCCCCCAGCCGGAAGTTGTGGAAAGTCCAAAAGACCAAAATCAATCGATCGATTCCGCCGAGCAAAATTCGCCGCAACGAGAATCCGATAACAGATCGGATAGGGAAAAATCGTCCGCCACCTCCGTCGGAACGCCTACGGCGAAGGTTTCGAAAACTCCCAAAAAACCACTCACTCCGAAGCAGCTGCAAAAGCAAATGGAAAAGACAGAAAAACTAAAAGAACGCGAGAGACTCAAAGAGGAAAAACTGAAAGTATTACAAGAAAAGAAAAAATTGAAACAGGAAGAGAACGAAAAACGCATTAAAGAGAAACTCGAAAAGCTAGAACAAAAACAAAAGGAAATAGAGGAGCGGCAGAAAAATCGAGACCTAAAAGAAGAAAAACGAAAGAAAGAACGCGAAGAGAAAGATCTCAAGCGTAAAGAGAGAGAAGAAAAAGAAGAGCAAAGACGGCGGGAGCAAGATGAAAAAAACAAAGAAAAGCAAAAGATCGAAGAAAAAAAACAGAAGGCCGCGACGGCATTTGTCAGTTTCTTCACTAAGAAAAACGATCCTTCTCAAAGTGAGGAACGAAAACTAGAGAAAGTGAGCACCTCCACTTTTATGCCGTTTGAGATCAAGTCCGATATGAGAGTAGCACCGATTTGTCGTGTTTCCTTAGATGCGAATCAAAAAAATTACATCCTGGAAACGCTAACGACGCAATTGGAACGTACTTACCTGGACGAATTGAGATCTGGCAGAAAACCACGCAAATCCTCCAGAACGTGGCCCTTTACAGAATCCGATCGACAGGACAACGACGTAGTAGTAGTAGAGGAGGTAGTTCCAGGCGAAAGCATCGAAGAGCAACCGAAACTCCCCGAAAAACAAAGAGCCAAATTTCTCAAATTTGACGGCAATCGCCGGCCCGCCTACTTCGGTACGTGGAGAAAAACCAGCGCGCTTATCAAACCTCGTCGTCCTTTCGCCATCGACACTACACTTTTCGACTACGACGTAGATTCAGACGAAGAATGGGAAGAAGAAGATTCGGGCGAGTCCCTCCAAGGATCCGACGATGATAAAGAGAACGAATCCGGAAATGAATATGAGGAAGATAACGACTTTTTCGTGCCTCACGGTCATTTAAGCGACGACGAAATGAACGATCAGGAAGACGCAGTTTCTCCCGAGGCCCATAAGGCGAAACTAAAACTGCTAAAGTCCGAATTTGAAGCGGAAATGCGTAGTAAGACTGAAAAGATCAAGCCTCGTGTGATAGGTTGCATTTGGTATAATAAAGATGGAAGTAACGTCGATCCCGCTATCGACGCATTTTTGAAACCCCTCTCGATTATTTCCAATGGTCAAATTGCAATTAAGAAAAGAAGTAAACTTACATCTATCGTGCCGGTGAGAAGATCGTTTATGCCAGGTAAGGAGTTAAGTGTGAAGTTTGTTCCCGACTTTTTAAAGTGGATACACGGAAGTACGAAGAATTCTAAGGCGTTGGTTGAAGACTTCCTAAATTCTTTAGAAAAGCAGGAAGTTAATGTGGAAGTGTCTAAAACTAGCTTAGTGAAACAATTGAAAAAACTTGCGGTGTGGACGCGTTGCCCCGAAGGTGGGCCAGTTCTGAAGAAGTATTGTTGGTTCGTTCATAAAACAGTCGGTGAAGAATACAATGTTGATTTACCTATTCCTAATTAAGATGTATTCGTTAGCTTTGTTTATAATAAATAATATTATACTCCTCTTTTTTTTTAATGCTAATAAAGTTTGGTGGTACCTACCTAACCTTACAATAACAAAAAGGGTGCATCTAAATTTTTTGCAGTAGCGGCAAGACTCATAGATCTCGCGTGTTTGACCGCGGAAGCAGCAACGAGCGGAGATACAAAAGGAGCAAGAAACGCTCGCCCGGCTCTCGCCGACGTCACAGACATCGCCATGATAGATCGCTGTCGAGAAGGAAACACAGTCGGCGGTCTTACTCCACGGACCAGGTCAGTGTGATCCCTGTCTAAGTCTACTATGACTTCCGGGTGTGGTATGAGATTTTATTTACATTTTATTGTCATTCCTTTATTTTGACATGATGTATTTAACTGTTTATTTGATTATGGGCCAATTACTATTACCATTTCAAGATACGTTCCACGTTTATGTGCACTTGTAGTTAGGAAATTTTATTAATATATCTCAAAACGTGAAAGTATTAAAGAGTGACTATTTCAGATACAAATTGGTAAGTACTTCCATTTAAATCTACTGCAAATAAGTACTAACGTCTCGTTTTATAAATAATGATTTAAAGAATAATCAATGACTAAAAATATTAGCCACCTATGATTACAAGGTAATGTATAATTATCTTTATTACACTAATTGTCAAGATTAATTTTTTCGCCGTCTACGAACAAACCAACATTTTTCAATTATTTATGTTCCAACAAGAATTGCTAAATCGTAGTCTTTTGACTTTGAAACAACGCAATATAGCAATATAGGAACAACTGCAAGCGTATGAAGAGAACTACATTTTCTACACAGCTGATGTTACAAACTAGATCAGATTTCAATAAAAAAAATAATTTTTGAAAAAAGTCGAAATCGCATTTTTTAATTTATTTTTTGGATGGAGTCTAAAAATGGAATAAAGTGGCATTTCCTTGGCGACTTGATGGGATCGATATTTCTTTTATTTTTCCAGATTTGAAAAAATAGTCAAATTTGATGGCTTATTGACATTTCCGGCATTACTTTCGTTTAAATAAGTTTTCTTTTTCAAATGCAATGTTTTTTTAAGATCTTTGAAACGAGCAATCAATTTACCGTGTGATAACATAGCATATGCATACGGTTGATCTACAAAGAAATGAATTTGTGATCCACTATTTTGAAAACTTATGAAATCTAGCATGCCGTGTGCTGTCAGGATTTGCGGTGTCTATAATGTTACATGGGGAAATTGTATTGTGCAAAAGTAAATCTTTAACACGGAACATTGAGCAAGTTGATGTACGTCTTTTCTGTGTCACACAACAGACATCGCGCATCATAACCGCACACGGCATGCTAGATTTCATAAGTTTTCCAAATCTTCGTTCCACAAAAGCGAAAGTTGAAGGCTATGGCCACTTTTCCACAACTAAATAATTAAAAAATGTGCTTCCTTTTTTTCCATTTTTAATTGTCCACCAGGAACACTCTGGAAGTAACCTTGTGTGCTTGAAATGTACTTGGTGTGAAAACAATGAAAACGGATCATCTTCAAGCCATAGCTAAAATATATACAATGAGTGAATTGGTTTTATGAAATATATAAAAAATTCCGTCGGGTTTAGGTAGTTGTATATAAACCTCTCGCCAGGAAAGATTGCCGGTCACAAAACACTTGATCACGGTCTACAATCTATGTTTTTCTAAAGATGTGAGGGACTTCCGGAATAGTATCATGTTAATGTTGAACAAACATACATTGTAGATCGACACAAGGTGTGCTGTGACTGGCAATCTTTCCTGGCAAGAGTTATAATAATATAATAATATATTTATTGGTGGTGTATATAGACATACAGTGAGTTTTTTTTTACATGCGAACATAGGAGTTTGCATGCAATAATTTCCCTATGTTCGATTTTAAAAAAAACATCAATCTATGAGGTGTGCGCGGTTCACATTTCCAAATCGCGCAACTTGTGTGTCTATGAAAAGCAACTCTATAGTCTTTATGATGAAGAGCACTCGGTAAGATTTTTTTAAAGAAGCCTTGTGAGGCCATAGCAACTTTAGGATACATTTTTCTTAAGCTTACAATAACTTGACCTCACAGGCCACGCACTGACACCACAACTCGTTGTGAACCAACCTTCAATTATTTGTAGGTCATGTGCACCTGGTATTCTACTAATTTGATCTATTCAATACATAAATGAAGAAAATAAATACCGAAAACAATTACAATAAATGTTCGAAGTGTCCTTGACATTCTAAGTAATAACCTAACCGATTTCGTAATTAAATTGGACGGTGGTATTTTTAAAAATGTGACAGCTGTCAATTGTATCTACTACTCATTTGAACTACTCAATAGATTGATGTGTTTTTTTTTTAATCGAACATTGCATGCAAACTCCTATGTTCGCATTTAAAAAATATTCACTGTATGCATGTTCTTCCACACGTCAAAGTAAGATAGAAAATGCAAATATAGTTCATACTACATTGTTAAAATTAAACTTGCAGAAGTCTTCAATACTGTAGGTAGAATGCGTTGCTGATCAATATACTTTTCATCTTGGCACTGAACTCCTTCTCTTCCAGATCTCTCAATGTATTGGGTAGCACATTGTAGCGTGTTTTGATATAATAGTGGACGTCTCTTCCTTATAAATGTATGGTGGAGGTTTTTGAAATTGTATATGTAACAATGATTAGAACATTAGAAACATTTTTATATATTTCATAAGGCGACTACACTCGATTGTATATATTTTAGCTATGGCCTGTGAAGATGACAATATACAAAAAAATCGAAATCGATCGCTTATAAGAAACTTAAGCAATAAACACTTTCTTTGCAAACTATTAAATATGTTTCCTTGAAAATGATATGTTTCATTATCTAGCATGAAAATGATATAATTTGTCTACATATTCAACTTTAACTTTATTGTCTCACTCAAAAAAAATACATTAAATTAATAGAAAATTTGAGGCGAAGTTCAGCTTTGAAGTAATTCTTCTTAGCTGCTCTTACACTTAACCTCGTTGGTGGCATACTAAAAATGTACAAATACAGCTTTAAACTTAAACTTACTATAACATAATCATCATGGAGAAAAAAAAAAAAACAAATACGAGAGAGAGATGGAAATGTTTGCTTTTATGTGTTCGACTTTGTAGCACTAGTAGTTAGGTGTTCTTTTACTTTCTTCTGAAACCTGAATAAAGGTAACAACTTGAGATTATCAGAGAGATCGTTGTAATAATGTGCAATGTATATTCATATACCGCCGAAAGTAAAATGCACACGTACTTTTTGTTTTCCACTTGTAGTATTAACTTAAGCATAGTCAACGACTGTCAAACATTTTCTTAATGACCTTGGCAGTATCTCGCTTTTTTTATGGGTAAGTATAGGTATAGTACACTTTTGAAATCCGTGAGATATTGCTTGACTTGACATTGCCTGAAGTGCCAATTATTCAAATTCAACACTTGTCATGTGATGTACTATATAATTCAGACATGTCAAACACATTTATCATCAAGGGCAATTTTTAAGGTTTTCACATATAGCTGCGGGCCGCATCATAAAAGAATCCACATTAAGAAAATTTTGATTTTTTATTATTAACATAAAAAGTATACAAAGTAATACAATAAAAAAAAATACAAATAATTATATAAATCAGTCTACTTCTTTTATATATTTTTACGTAGAATCCAGTAGCGTAGTAAAAAAAATTTGGACCGCCGTTTTCTGAGATTTGACCCAAAGTTGGTATTTTGTAAATGCAACACCCTGTATATCTTAACGTCAATTTTTTGCATTCTTTTTCCTGGTTGCATGGATCACATGGTGATCTCCGAAACCATAGAAGATGGACGATGGTCAAATTAGGGAAAAGTTGAGCAATTAAACAGTTATTGTTATGCTGTAAAGAAAAGCAGGAAATTCCGATTACTTCCGACATATGCTAGAAAAACCGAATTTACAGAGACAAAACAAATAGAAACGACTTTCTCATTGCCACTCTCTGAGCTCCACAAGACACCGTTCAGAGATTTTCAATACATTTCGGAGTATTTTTAGCGTGTTTTTGAAAAAAAATAGTGCTTAATAATTATATTCACTTTGACTGCAAAGTATTTTAAGTATAACTCTCGAAGGATTCATCGCAGAATGCTCGGGTTTAAAGCATTAGATTCGTGTCACAATTCTTTGCATGCAGATTATATTTCAACGCTAATAATATCTCGATCCGTCGCACAAAAGTAGCTCGACGCATCGAGTACTTTTGTTTTTATATAGCCCGTGCAGTACACAGTGTATTGTGTAGAATTTTTTATTACGAATACAGTGATGAAGGCACACAAAAAAAACAAAAGTTGGAAACTGTTGGTTTTAACAGGATGGTGCAACCACGCACAACATCATAATCGTACGAGAATATCTATCGGACTTATTTTACATTTTCCAAGAAATTTGTCGGATAGGTATTCTGGCACGAATAGAGCGTTATACGCGAATACACCATCCTGTTGAAACCAACAGTTTTCAACAATTGTTTTTTTTTTGTGTGTCATCTGCGTTCATAATAAAAAATGCTACACAGTACAGTTATCTACTTTTTTTATAGGCCATAAAAAAGATAAAGTTGATGATTTCTCCTAAACAAAACGTATTGAATATCTATTTTTTTGAATCTGTTCAAATAACATCAGAAAAAAAGAAAAACGAAATTGGCAAATTTCGATTTTTCTGGCTAATCTTTGGAAGTAATCTGAATTTTCTGGTTGTCTTTACTGAACAGTAAGAACTGGTTCACTATTGGGATCTCCGTAAAGGTGAGAAATACAGTGTAGGTTACTCTTTGTGCCTTCAAAAACGTTTTTGAAATTTTTGAAAAATCTTCGAAAATAAAACCGAAAAAGTGAAAATGTCAAATTTCGTTTTCATTTTTCCAACTGTTTAAGACATGGACCATTCCCGTTAGCACATTCCATGGGCACTTTTTTTCGGAGAATTTGATTCTGTTTTCAGAATGTCCATAGCACGCTAGATGCAGAAGCTACAGACTACTACTATGTTATTTCTTATGAACGCCACATGAGATAGAGGACAAAAAAGAAATTCATTTGAATGCATCGCCGTCATAGTCATGTTGATTCAGCACGATCTAGTTAGCCGTGGGTGTTTGTTGACAAATAAATAAATGTAAAACATTTGATTTTGTAGTTTTTCTTGTAAATTTGTGTAAAAGTATAGTCATTATTTTTTTTTGTCCTCTATCCCATGCCGTAAAAATCTAATATGGCACCCATTAGAAATAAGAAAGTAATAGCAGTGAATGTTAGTAGTTTGTAGCTTCTACATCTCGGGTGCTATGGAAATTCTGAAAACAATCAGATTCTCCGAAAAAAAGTGCCCATGGAAGGTGCTAACGGAAACCATCCATTTCCAACCGTTTAAACTAGGGAAAATGAAAATGAAATTTGACATTTCTGACATTTTCAGATTTTTCCAAAAAACAAAAGGGAAATTTTGCCCCCATTTAACCTACACGAATTTGAACCATTGGTATTATCGGCCGCCTTAGTTACCATGGATACAATAAAAAAACAATCGGCTAGTCGCGTGTTTGACATGGCTGTAATGTAATGGTATAAAAGTTATACATTTTTATCTCGATTTTTATCAAATACACAGTAGTAAAGCAGAACATTTTTTATTAGCCGAGGAATGTTTTTAAAATTAAAAAATACACTTACTAAAATCAAAAAAGTGTGCCACAAAGTAAAAACCACAGTTGAAATGCATTCATTTTAATACCATTAACGCTCGTTAGGTGCCAAGTTCATAAGGGCGCTTCTCATGTGTTTGGAACTACTTAGATGCTAATTTTACCTAGTCCCATACTGACAACAATACTTAGATTTAATAATATATAATAATTAAATATGTCGAATATACATGTCAAATGTATACAATAGATGCATATGTCTTCTGTAATCCTGCAAAACTTCTTGAGTCACGCCACCTCTCGTAATTACGACGAGACTTCATTTCAATAAAAAATTAGAAGTTACAAATACATAAAGAGAAAAGAAATTTGAATATTTTGAGTTTTGATGGGGCTTATTAGTACTTTAGGTACTTAACATTCGACTAGATCCTATCATCTTTGGTTTGTTAAGTTAAGCAATAATTGCACCTTGGTTATACTAAAAGGGTACCAAGATATTGCATCCTTTAATTCTAAAATGGATTATACTGTGAATCAGAAATCGATTCTATTGGTCAAAAATATTTTCGAAATAATTTTAGTATCAGATCAGATTGTCAGAATGTTCTGTAAAATACAGTGGCACTGTTTGAGTTGAATAGGCAAACCGTTGAACAGCAAGTTCATATTAGTTTTACATTTTGAAAATTAACCCTTAAACAATAAATTGTTAAAAATAGTCTCAAAATATTCCATAATGTGCATTCGATTTAATTGGGACACTACTCGATTGGTGTTTTATTAATAGAGAACTGCATGTGAGTATGCGTGCGCGTCTGTTGGCACTTTCTCACCTAACTTACACTCAGTGGTGTCCATAAAAATGTTTCTTTATAAGTCATTTCGAGCATTTTTAGAGACGAGTATTTATGCGAAGGGGTGGCATTGTTTATTTTTGTATTGGTCAGTTCTATTTTTAAAATTTAGAGCAAGTAAGGTTAGTACGGTTTTGTCTCTTCATCGAACGGGCGTTTAATTAAATGGTCATAGAAGATATCAAAACATGACCGCCACATGGCCAATAATCGAACGCGAAGCCGCTGCCAGGATTTTCATGCAGGCACTTCCGATTTCAAAGCCAAAACCACAACCTTCGATAACCATAATCAATTCGAATTGGTGGCCAATTGTTAGCGAATCGCCAACTTTGTGGGGCACCTGGAAAACGGATTTGAAGCGTGAAAAGCCCACCTCGGAGAAGGTGCTCCATGCATGCGGAAAAAAATTTGCCCGCTTTAAGTACTAATCGCTTTACTGTTTGTGTGTCTCTTTTTTATTTGTTGTATTATGTGCTTCTAGAACCGAATCAAGTAAATAAATATGAATTAAGTGGCGCGCACGTGATGACACGTTCTATAAATAGCGGGCGGCAATCTAATATTAAGTTCATAGGATGTTAATTTTTATCTGCATACTATCAGAAAACAAAACGGCGAAGTTTAATTCAATTGTATTTCGTTTCGTGCATGATTTATAGTGTTGCGCGCAAACAAATGATCAGATGTCGAAAAATGGACAAAAGCACCGATCGTACAACGCTTCCGCGTTGTTATCGCGCATAAAAAAGTACTTTCTTTTATTGCTTAAGGTCAGTTGACACTTTTTGTTTATGTCTACTATATGTCTATAAAATATCAATTCGCCCACCATTTTTATTTTTATTTTGTCGACTTACGTTCAAGATATCGAAATAGATTTGCCTTACTTTTTCCCTTTCTTCGCTTACCTTAAGCTTTTTACGTAATAGTTGCGTTTAAGCACGATCGACATCGTATACAGCAGCGCCTGAGCTGTTACAGTTTGATATTTTTAGTTTGGCGGTATTTGGCAGGGGCTTCTTTTATTATACCTTCAGTATTAGATTAATCCTAGAGCGTATCGTTTTTGCGTTAGTGAGGAAGGTCACCGTTGTCGCGAAGTGCGATCGAAAGAATGCAATGTTCGCTTCTTCAGCGTTATCTTCGTATTCGCGTTTACGCGCTGCGTACGACGACGATGAGCACCGCCGCCAATCGGCGTGGAAGCAACAACAACGCGCGTCTGCTAGAAGAATTTCTGGATCCGGCGCGGACACCTCGTCATCATCCACAACTCCAACTGCGTCTCGACGAAATCGTTACGCGCGATCTTCAACAACGAGCGTTACCCAAATGCTGACGGACTCGTGTTCGAGCCTGTTGCAAAGACTCGCCACTAAAGTCCGAGGACCATCGGCAACAACGGAACGAATTACTAGTAACAATACCGCCTTATCATTGCCAAATACCAAATCAAATAACTTCGCCTCGACCACCCGCACTAAAATTCCCGACGATAAATACTCGCGCTTTCTAGACAGAATTTATGGTAAAATAAAGGATCCAGAGCGAACCATAGAACCGTCAATCGGAAGAACTCTAACCAAAAGTGCCACAACCGGGAATGTCTTGCTATCAGAGAAAGCTTATCCCTATGTTGGACATATTAGTCGAGACAAAACTCCGTACAAAGGTGATAGTAAATTATCTCAATATCGTCTAAACAACAATTACCCCGAACCTTCCTACACTTACCTGGATCGCGATTCCGCCTACAGAGTTCGACATAGATCAAACCATTCCGAATTAAGACCCCGTCGGTCGTCCAAACCGCAACGGACGGGAAAAAGTGAAGTTTCTGAAAGGAGAACTTCGACTAATCTTAACTTAAAACTTTGTCCAGTAGAAATACCCTCCATCGATGATGCTCCCTCGTCCTCCACATCCTGTCACAAAACGACCCTTGCGCCATCACGTAACGCTAATGGAGATAAGGATGACGAAACGACTCCGACTCCTACGGTATCCGAAAGAGAGGAAAAACGAAAAGAGATACAAAGTTTGATTATGAAATATTCCGTATTAGACGAGGTTTACAATCGAACTGGTGCCGCCGGCGGAATACAGCCAATTCCGAGCGTGACGTCGAGTATTGCACAGAAATATCAGTCAAGATTGGCACCGGCTGTAAGTACAGGCCGTGTGTTGCATTACCCGGTTTCGTCACACTAACATGAGTGTCGCTTTCGTCTTAACAATGATTCATCGTTTCACCATCTCTTGAACATTGTGTAAGTGCATTTCTCGATCGCATTGTCGAAAGTATTTTTTATACTCCCTACCTACATGTTTGAATTTGCTCTGTTTAATCTTGTTTGAGGTCTCAATTCTGCTCAACAACATGATAGGGAAAAAGATCAAAGTCACTTAAAAAATTGTTTAGGGTCTCAAATCAAGCGGAAGTGATTTTAATGAGAACATGCAAACTGCGATCATTTGTTTCAGAACACCTTGTAGTGTATTAATCCTAAGTCGAAGAGAAATGAAATTATCCACTCTTTAATTTTACAATTCATATCCCTGTTCTGTGTTTTAATTCTACAAGGATTGATGACTTCTAAGCTGCTCGTGCTTAGAAAAACTCAGTACAGGGTGGATCCAAGTCGTGGCTCACCATTGGGATCTCTGGTTGAGAGATACAGTATAGTTTAAATAGAGTCAAAGTTGGCTCCTTTTATGACTAAAAAAAACACATTTGAAATTTTTAAAAAATCTGAAAATAGATATCACTGAAAATGTCAAATTTTGTTTTTATTTTTCTTAGCTTAACCGGTCGGAAATGGGCGGTTCCTGTTAGCACATTTTTTCGGAGAGTCTGAATTTTTCAAAATTTCCATAACATGCTACATGTAGAACCTACCGGCTGCTACCTTCTTATGGGCACCATATTGGATTTTTACATAATGAGATAGAGGAAGAAATTCATATGAATGCATAGCCATGTTGATTGAGCAGTATCTAGATACCTGTGGATGTTTTCTTGTGAAACGATTGATTTTTTTTGTAAATTTATGTAAAAGTTTAGAATGTGAAACGTCATTATTTTTGTTTTTTGTCCTCGATCTCATTCCGTTAAAATCCAATATGGCGCCCATAAGAAGTGCGAAATTCTAATAACAGATTTAGATTCTCCAAAGAGAGTTTCCTTAGAAGGTCCTATTGGGAACCGTCCATTTCCGATCGTTTAAGCTAGGGAAAATGAAAACGAAATTTGACCATTTTCAGTTATTTCTTTGATATCTCAGTTATTTTCAAAGATTTTTCAAAAATTTCAAATGCGTTTTTTTAGTCACAAAAAGGGGCAACTCTGCCATCTTTTAACCTACACTGTATCTATGATCCGTTACGGAGACCCCCAATGGTGATCCACTAATTAAACCAGCCTGTACATTTACTTGGAAGTAATTACATTGACTCAACATTCACTACATTGCTTCATATTTACCACACAAATTACAAATACACGGTTTACTAGATACCTTGCAAATTTTTTTTATACAGAGTGAACCATTAGTGCGTGGGTGGAAGATTCTGGGTTTATTAACGCTACAACCAATGTGAAAGGTTGTAGCCTGAAAGAGTTCTTCAACATGTCCTGATAATGAATTTTAAACATATGCGTTAATAAACACACATTCTTCCACCCACGAAGTAATGGTCCACCCTGTATACAGGAAATTTTACTAATGGCCAATGTATACTTTAAAAAAAATTCTGTAAGTGGTGTAGTTCCGGAGCCTTTGTGATTCAGACAGACAGACATGTTGTAAGGAGCGTAAAAGTGCACTATTTATTTTTTTAAGGTGAAAGTGCACAAAAAACCATATCGATGAATGGTACATGGCTATAGACAACGTAATAAAAGTCATATCAGTGATTTGAAATATTTTTTGTAACGTCACCACGAACTTTATTTTGCGCTTGTTTTTTTTTTCAGAACGGAAAACGTCGTGAAAAGTGTTAAAATGGGTTTCGGGAATGCCAGAGCTTTAATTTTTGAAGAGAGAACGAATTTTAAAAACAACTTTTATTTGTCGCGTGTAATATCGGTTGCCTGTAGCCACCTATTTTATGCATTGACATGTTTTTTTAAGTACAATACACAACCATATGTATAAAAAAATTCCCTTTATCTTTTAATGTCTATAACTTTCGGATCATAGGCTTTAAAATTTCTAGAGCAAAACGTTATAATAGATAATTATTCAATTATACAGTGCAACTGAGTTTTTGACATGTCTTTGTTATGCTATGACACAAACTTTTGTTTTCCCTGTATAAAAAACAAATGCCAATATTTTTCTGAAAGCTTCTTCATAAGCGCACATTTAGAAATAATGGCCCGTATGGATAAAAGTAAGCAAATGCTTATACTTGCAAAATGCAAAGTAAATACTCGTAACTGCCCCTTCATACTGGTCTGTTTAGCATGGTTTAGCAGCGCTGCACTGCGTCCTGTCCTTCTGCTTAGAAGCGCTGCTAAGTCGCCCAGTGCGAAGGAGCACTTACGAGTATTTACTTTGAATTTTGCAAGTATAAGCATTTGCTTACTTTTATTCATACGGGCCCTTGTTTCAAGTTAAATATTTTCAGTTGTGCCTGGTTGGACAAATAGTGAATCTACTTTTCCTTACGTTAATTGGAATTCCCTTGTTTCTATTGTTTTTCAAATTATGTAATTGGCCACTCTTGTGTTTAGTATTAATCGGCACTCTATAACTATCTATTTATTTTTATAGTCCTTTGTGCATGGTTTACAAATTTGTTAAAAAGGTCATTTTTTCTTAAAGCGTGTCTAAAAAAAATACTGATCTGGAACGTAAAAAACAAAAAATGTTTATTAAGCGGCAGATCAAACAATGGAAGCTTTCGATGGTGTTCGTCTGTGAAAACGATAAATGCCAAACGCTTGGGCCAATTCATTTCAAACTTTGCCCAGTTTACCTATATAGCAATGGGTCAAATTTAATGACGCCGTAGGATCACTCTGCTTTTCTAGTATTTTGACTCTGGATAGTTTACACATATGTATCTAAATTAAGATTTCAAACATTTTTACCAATGCATTAATGCAACAGATACAAAAATAATTGGTTTGACATTGTCAAGTTTTATGTGTAAATACTAATTTACTTTTTTTTGTGTATAGATCAAGTGTGACTTTGATCATTTATTCGTATTTTATTTAATGTTTATGGTTTATGATTTTGTTTTGTTTAAGTCCACAGTTGCGCAGAGTAAATTCAAGTGGACCTTTTTCAGTTGACTTCTTGTGATTCAACTGTGCAGATAAGGGAAAACAAAGTAAATCAAATCAAAATCGCATAAAATAAAGTGATGGTGATAAAATGTAGTCAATATTTTAACTGTACAAATTTAATGTTATTTTGAAATTAGACGTTTGCTTTAGTATTAAAATTGATTCCATTCTGTCACTGATGATAAGCTATTCCGTTCGCCTATGCAATGTATATTGAAAACGAACATAGGTGCGGCGTGTTGATCTATATCATTAAAGTATCTGACTAATATAAATCATGACAAGATTTAAACCTTTGCTGGCTACGTAATGTGTAGTAACAAAAGGGCTGCAAAGTTTAAATGATCGTCATGGTTTAGTCTGTAATGTAGTAATAACGTTTTTGGTGCCTCAGCACATTATGTGAATTAACTAATTATTAACGTTAGGTAATTGCTTTTGTTTAAGTGCACAGAAACAGTGGAAGGTATATCAAAAATAAAAATGGTAAAAGTAGCAGAAAAATGCCCTGGTACGTGACCCCCAATCACGTTCCTACCCCCACATATACCTTCATCTGTTACTATGTTCTGGTGCATTTTCTGTACCGTTAAAGAGGCTCGTTGTTGATTTGGCAATCCGTTTGCCCTTTCCTCTGTCTGCTTATTGGGCCACAACTCCATTGTATTGGCGCCATTGTGATCTCGGACTACCCTGACCTGCTACTATTGGTGACGTGCTGGACCACTATACCATGGCTACCTGTTATCTACCATGCCGCACCTGTACCTGTGCTGTTTCGGGATGATGCGTGATTGCAGAGCTCGCGTGCACCTTCCGTGGAAGACGACGAAGAGGGCCATCTCATTTACCGATCGGGAGACATTCTTCAAGACCGATGTTCGTGAATACCACACTTTGTTACACTTAGCAGTTTGGATAAGTCAAACTCTCTCAAGTATCCCAAAAACAATCCCCTCCAATAATTTATAAAACAATAATTCTTCTTGCAGCGGGGCTTCGAGCCCAATATCTAAATTCTGTACCTTTCATTGTCAGGACGAATATTTTCTTTTTGTTTTTTATTTTTTAACTAAATACCAAGCAAGTCCTTGCAATGAAAGTGACACAGTCAGTAATTAAGTTTTTTGTTGGTTTAATATCATTATCAGAAAATTATTAAACCGTCACAAATGTTTTGCATGCTAAAAGTAATTAGACTCAAGTTAGGTTTATCTAATTTTGTGCTTACTGAGAAGCGGTTTTCTTTTTAATTTTACTTTGTTTGGTTTGAAGTAAGCAAGCACCCGCAATACCGCTCAATTTTTACGTTTCTCACCAAGCACCTTTGCCATTACGGAAATTTTAATTAGTTTCGTTATTGCTTTCCAGATAAAATTCTCGGCACTCTCGGAGAGGGTACTTTTGGTAAAGTCGTAAAAGTAAAAGATGTTGAAATGTAAGTTTCATATACGGCGGTAATAGTTTTCGGTAATATTTTCTTTTAAGGGATCACAACATGGCACTGAAAATCATTAAGAACGTCGAGAAGTATAGAGAAGCTGCTAAACTTGAAATACACGTTTTGGAAAAAATTGGTGAACGTGATCCTGACAGCACATTGTAAGTATTTTTTTCAAACGGTGGGTAATGGAACAATTGCCATATTGATAGTTATCCCAAGCCTAGATTCTTAAAGCTACCATTACATTTGTCAATTTCTTCGCGACAGGGGTTTGGTTTTGCACGTGAAGAATTTTTATTTTATTATTTGGACTTTTATTTTTAAGTGGGTGGGGTTTCAGCCAACCCAACCCACTATACATTTACAAATGTTGCACTTCCACGCCACTATGCCACACAGGCCTGCTAGGAATTTGGTGAAGTTGTTGGATATATTTGTCATTGGAACAGTAGTGCCATCCCAATCACAAAAATGTTACATGTAAAAATATCTGCTGCAGTAAGTTGAGGATGTTTTAAAGTGTTTGTCAAATCAGCTTTTAAACAGCGGAAAATAACCTCACTCTTCCTGTTCTAGAAAATTATAAGTTGGTTGGTAGCACTGAACTTCGCAGTCAAATTGATGAAAAATAGAACACATTTCTATTTTCGTGAAGAAATTCATTATACAATTTCTTCATGAATTAATTCGTGAATAAATTGACAAATGTAATGTTAGCTTAACATTTTATTTTATAAAAAGATTTATTGTACACCAGACAAATATGTTATTGTTTATCTTTTGTTTGCCAACAAGCATCTCAAGCTTTTTTTTAGAGGTCAATTTTTAATTACCTACCTACATTACACAAAAGGGAAGGATTATTGCCCAAAACGTCTTTGAACCATTACAAACAAACGATTTGCATGCTTTTTTTAAATGAATTATGTTTAAAAATATGCGCCACTAATCTATAAATAAACATTTCAATCATATTCAACGACCTACGCGTGAGAAAGCGGAATTTTTAGAATTCGAGCTATTTACATTATTTATCAAAAATATTGAATTCTAATAATAATGAGTGTGAACGCAATTTTTTGTTATAACCAAGGGATGCTTATTTAAATGACTTTGTGACTAACTTCATCTGAATCATTAACTTAATTGTATCTATCCCAGGTTGGACAGTTGCCATATAAGCGGTTGGTTTTAGGAAAAATTACTTTCATTATTACATTCATATTTACACCTTAAATACATTACACACTTTGAAAATTAATCTCTACTTTTAAGAGTGTTCTGTACTCTTCCTTCTAATGTAAGTTTAGACCTGTGCTGCGATCAGTGGGGGTGATATCAGCTCTTTGTTGGCCCATTTTTATTAGTTGGCAGTTTTTCTCGTCTTAATTGCTAGGCAACAGATTTTCATTACCTTAACAACCCAAATTTCCTCAGTAAAATACAAAAATCTTTTATGAGTGAAGATTAAATAGGTGTTTTAAGGTTTCCCTGTATGTATAAGGGTAGATAAATTAATATAGGATTTTCCTCAGTTTGAGCGCACGGTATCTATGTATTATGACGTCATCACGTAAGTATGTTCATATAGCATCATGCAATTAATGGAAAAGAATACGTACGTAGATATTTTAATTGGTTTTTCATAATAACATTGCCCGCAATGCTTCACAGCTGAAGTCGAGAAGTGACTGCAATGTTATTTTACTTACCCCATACCTTAAACTGACACTATAGAAGAAAGGGGACGCATAATATCCTATCAAGAGCAATGCTGCGCGTTGAAGCAAATTTTTGTGTGCCGGCCATATTCTTGGTGCTCAAAACTGTGTTTATGTTTTGTTTATTCCATTAGCTGTTTGTATGTATTTGCCAGTGGCATGCCCCCATTGTACTTATTGTTAAAATATTATAATGAACAGAAAAGGTATGCATAGATTTGTAATGTATTGGTTCATTTGTCGTATCGCGCAGAAGAGTTGTGCATAATCTATTTGTTTACGTACAATATTGTATTTACAATATGTACCTACGGTTGCTGCTTTAACCTTACGCCGATGGACTGTAGGCGGCCATGTTTTGGGTGGGCAAAGAAGTAAACTTTGCTTCAGTTTATGGTCATTATTATCACTTTTTTCTTCTTTAAAGATTGGAAATTTTTGTTAGATGGGTCAGCGTCCAGTCAACTTTGTGAACCACAACTCTAGTGCATGGTGACATTTGGAAACCAACCTAGAGGTAATTTTACAGTGATCAAGTGTGCCGCTGTCGCTGGAGATTCTGATAGTTTTGTTCTTTATGTAACTTTTCTTGCACTGAGCGTTAGTTCAACCAACTCTGATTGGAATACAGTAGGAAGTTTGCCTAATGGTTGGGTGATATGGAAGTTCACTTCTTTGAAGTAAATACCAGTGCTTGTTCCTTCCGTTATTTTAGATCCGTTAAGATGAATATGCCACGTCTTCATCAAAAAGTTTTTCCAAATGTGAGCGAGTCCGATCGCCCTTCTAGGATATGCAAAATTGCTTAATCGCCTCGCCCAGCATTCGAGAATGGCCCACCTCAGTACCCCTGCTATTCAACAGCCCCTTATTTTTCATTCATTTTTCATAGCAGTGTACAGCCCTAGGGAGAAACAAGTACCATTTTTGGTGTGCACCAAAAATTCAAATTCAAATTAATTCAAACTAATTCACGTTAATTCAAATTAATACACGGTAATTCAAGTTAATTAACGTTAATTCAAATTAGTTCACATTAATATACGTTAATTCAAATTAATATACGTTAATTGAAATTAATTCACGTTAATTCAAATTAATTCACGTTAATTCAAATTAATTCACGTTAATTCAAATTAATACACGGTAATTCAAGTTAATTCACGTTAATTCAAATTAGTTCACATTAATATACGTTAATTCAAATTAATTCACTTTAATTCAAATTAATTCACGTTAATTCAAAATAATTCATGTAAATTCAAACTAATCTATACAATTTCTGAGAGGGAAACACATTGAGATCCCATGAACTACGATAGAGTCGCAACTTTGGACCAAATAACATTGAGGACATTTCTTTACATTGAGAGATCGACTGCATCTAGGATTGCATTAACGATCCTCGAGATAGTTCATAATTTTGTATTGCTGTCTGTCTTGTGTGCACAATAACTTCGTGTAGTCTACATACAAAATTTCATGTAATTCGGTTGATAAATAACGGAGATGTCAAAAGGGCCTTCCTTATTTTTTGGCCTACTTTGCGTTTACGAACTCCTATCTTCAAATTTGATACGGAATGCACCTGTAAAATTTTATCATAATCGGTCCAGACTGTTCTCTTTTAAATCGATGGATATGAAACCATCGAGCGATCGGACGATTGGAAGACAGCATAACCGTCTCGTATAAAACTCGACGCTAATATAAAAGTGGCCGCCATTTTGTTTCAAAGGGTGTAAATTCACAACTTTGTACGAGATATTTATGAGTTATAAAGTTTGGTCAAAAAACGGTTCATAATTACGAAAGTTGTTTCTTGGAAGTGATATAGAAATGCAAATTAGTTCGGGTCAATTCATAATAATTCAAATTAATTCATGTTAATTCAAATTAATTCACGTTAATTAAAATTAATTCACGTTAATTCAAATTAATTCACGTTAATTCAAATTAATTCACGTTAACTCACATTAATTCAATTTAATTCAGGTTAATTCAAATTAATTCCCGCTAATTGAAATTAATTCACATTAATTCAAATTAATTCTAAGGGGTGTACACAAAAAATTCAAAGTTGTTTCCCCTTAGGTACAGCCACAAGACAGTCTTCAGGGATGGTCCCCAAAATCTTCTAATTATTATTATCCCTCTCTTGTTTTGGGCCCTCAACAGGCATGCGCCCAATTACAGAGTGACCCGCATAATGCTATTTAGAGGTGCAGGTGCCTCTGCAGAGGGTCTTAAGTTGGTCTATACTACTCCGGTATTTACCTTACGAATTAGGCGCGGCGATTTTGTCAGAAAGCCTTATTTGCTTGTTCGGCTTTGAGCTAGATATGTTTACTCAATTCAGTTGTTTGTCAAGTGTGATTCCTAGATATTTTACCGACTCTGAAAATTGGAGGTGTTCTTGGGGGAGTTTGAAGACCCTCTACCTTTCTTTTTCTTGTAAAGATATATCTACACAAATATTAATTTATTTTAAATAATCTTTGCACAGTTGACATAAGCGCCCATTCAACGTATGTTTTAACGTGTTAGATCATGTCGCATATGGAGTTCCAAATTGCTGCTTGTGTGAAACCGTCAACATCGCTAACGGGTTTCTTATATAGCTTTGTTTTTTTAGCACTCTCTAGTGATTTGCCCTGTTTAGAAATTTATGCAATAGAAATCACTGTTCACAGGCTAATATTTAATGCATCTGCAATGCAACTCTGTGAAATGAAGATGATAGAATTGGACCACCATTATCCCTTTTTCGTTCAAAATAATAACGAATAAGATTAGAAATAAGTTGCTTACTTTTTCTAGGGATCGCATTTTTGGGTTATACAAGTTTTGGCGCAGAATACCGCATATCGAATTTTTATCGGCTAATGTAGCAAAACAATGATAATAAAATAACAAAAAAATCTTTTTTATTTTTTAAATAACGCACAACTCTGTCTCAAAAACCTATATTTGTTAAGTACATTGATCAGTCTAACACAGGGGTCGGCAACCTATTGAAACGGAAGAGCCAAAAATTACAATTTACAAAATTTCCCAGTTTTTAAAGAGCCACAAAAAATTTTTGATTCAATATTATAGTATTTGGCTATATACAGGGTCCTACAACACTGCGTCAGTTTTTCCTACATAGCTGATACCTGGTAAAAAATATTGGTGGTTGCGGATCTACAGAGATTATTTTTGAATGTACAGGGTGTCCCATTTTTACGATGTCAATAAATAACTGATCTTTTTAAATAGAACATCCTGCATATTTTTACTCGTTTCAATACCATTTGTTCAAAGTGCTATAACTATTCTTTTTCAAATGGAACTACCACTATTTTATTTCGCTATTCGATTGTCTTTTGTGTTCTCTTCAATGTTTATAAGGGGTGCCCTGTGCTTAACCCCCACAGTTTTTATGTTATTCAATATTTTTCATAAATGTACCTACTCATTAATTAATTACGTGTTTATACATAGGAGTAGGCTGCTATAATAAAAAAAAAACAAAAGAATACCAGAAAGTAAACAAGTGTCACAAATTAGATAATTATTTTCTGCAAGTGTACCTACTTTTGATTTCGCAAACAAATAAGATTAATTAAAAAGGTGAATTTCGAACAAATGAACTAATTTCTTTAGATAAATATGGAGAGCCGCAATTTTATATCAAAAGAGCCGCAGGTTGCCGACTCCTGGTCTAACATAATCACATAATTCTTTTATTTATTGTGGTTTAAAATGATTTTTTTGTATTTTGTGAATACATTGGCATTCCAATATTCCCCAAAAACAGAATTGACGACGTGCGCGCGAACTAAGAAAAATCTTTTAATTGCAAGCGTAGATGATGTAAAAACAAGGGAATCTGCAGTCTAATAACATTTGTCTTGTGTCTTATTTATTTACCATAAGCGATATTAGATGTGCAATGAAAGTGTTTTCGCTGTCTTGGTCATTTCTAGACAAATCTTCTTTTTCGATTCTTAAAAACGATTAATATTGTTTAATGGCTTTTGCTATAAAATAGCACATATTTTGTATCATACGCAATAATAAAGTGAAAGTCAATTCACTTGGTTAAACAATATCCCTTCATTGTCTTGTATAATATGTTTGTTAGTATGTGTGATTTGTACCCACAGACAGCGAAAAACTGCTTTTCTTACTTAAATCCACTTCAAAGATTACTAAAAAAAAATTAATCTAATTATTAACAGCTTTTTTCCTCTCATTAAAGTGTTTGGGGGGGGGGGGGGTAAACTATAACAGACAAGCCATTTATTTTGGTGTTATATTAGCTTGTTATCACAAGAAAACCTTTTATTATTTAACAATTACCTTAGAAACTACTAAAGGATGTTGTCAATCCTTTATATGTTTACAAATTTATGTAAAAAATCAATATATTTGAAAACAATGTATTTATTTTTTTTTAACTTTCAGCCTTTGTGTGCGCATGTTGGATTGGTTTGACTACCATGGACATATGTGTATTGCATTTCAAATGTTGGGCCTTAGTGTTTTCGATTTTCTAGTAAGTACCAGATAATGATGCGATATTTTCATTTAAAATGGGTGTTTTTGCAGAAAGACAACAACTACCATCCATATCCGTTAGAACAAGTAAGACATATTGGATACCAATTGTGTTTTTCTGTGAAATTTCTGCACGAGAATAACTTAACTCACACAGATCTAAAGCCTGAAAACATCTTATTTGTAGATGCCGATTTTGAAACAACGAATGTTTATAGTAATAAGAGAGTACGTATCCAAATTTAATAATGTTGTCTTCTATGTATACTTTTTAGTTGCGTGAGGTGAAGAGAGTGAAGCGAACTGATGTTAGGCTAATTGATTTTGGTAGTGCAACATTTGATCACGAACACCATAGTACTATTGTATCAACAAGGCATTATCGTGCACCTGAAGTGATATTAGGCAAGTTCGATTTTAATTGCGATAGTTGTGTAATTGTGTACCGATTTTAGAATTAGGTTGGTCGCAGCCATGTGACGTATGGTCAATTGGCTGCATTTTATTTGAATTATATCTCGGCGTAACATTATTTCAAACGCACGACAACCGAGAACATTTGGCTATGATGCAAAGGATTCTTGGCGAAATACCCATACGGTGGGATTATTATCACGTAAAATAGAAATTGTACGATTTTTTTTTAGAATGGCAAGAAAAACTAAGACAAAATATTTTCACCGAGGCAAATTAGATTGGGATGAGAAAAGTTCGGCAGGTCGATACGTTCGAAATAATTGTAAACCTCTAATGGTGAGTACTATTGCAATTGGACTTATGCAGTAAGCACATTGACTTTAATGTCGATCTTAAAATGATTCAATCCAATTGACTTTTGGTATCATATTGGAAAAAATTGGTATGGTGTTATGATGTACACTTAATTTGAAATTGTTGAAGTATAAAATGATCGAATATCTTCATCATATACCCCTTGAAGTTTTGTACTTCCCATTAATGAATCCATCTGGGTCATACAATAATAGAATAATCAACCATTTAGTGAAAAGGTGTACTTTTGTAAGATTGGTGATTCATAGTTGCCACAATATGCACTTGGGGCTATACACAACTTTTGCAGTGCTAGATATTTAAAAAAACAAATGATATAAAAACAAAAAACCATCAGAAAGTGACCAGAAATATTAGATATTAAAAGAGTACAACGAACAGGTGTTGCAATAATCGATTGGGTGTGACGTAGGGTTAGTTCTCAGGCTCTTCAAATGGTGATAGAAGAGTAATTACACTCACCGCTACTGAAAATACACCTTCAAAATTACTAAAAATAAAAAAAATGCATATACCACGTACGCATATCGCAAGGCATAAAGTAAACACAAAGTAAATTTACTTTTTTAAGTTAAGACAGCGAAGTTTCTACCATAAAATTACAGAAGCAAGTGCAGTGCAATATGAAAATTCACGTTTCAGGGACGTCATAGCTCACTTAACGGCTAAACAGCTAACTGGTAGCGTAGGGTCACCGAATTCCCCCGTAAAGTGCTGAACGTGCATTCGGTGCGCAAGGACGAGTTACGACTCTTACGAGGCAAATGACTGTGTTATTTTTTATTTAATTTAATTTTAGTAAAGGCGAACCAAAGCGTTGGTTGTTGTTTCCCTTTTGCGAAATAGAGAACATTTTTTCCATTTAATTAAAAAGTAAGAGTACACCGAACAATAGGTCAGAAAAGAGAACATTACTCTTAAAAAGAGTACGTCTGGTCACCTTAGCTCAAATTATCTTTTTAAATAGAACGGTTACTTTTTTCTGTAATATTCTTAGAGCTTGAAATTCTCTTTACAATGATATCAAATATGTTACCTTAGAAATTAAAGCTGCAGTAATGTGTTTATAACCAACCGCAGTAACTGTGGAAATTTAAACAAAAACAAAAAGAGGTTTTCAGTTAACATATCTTGTCACAAAATTAGTTAGTGAACAATATAACTTATAAGAACTGCAATGCAACAAAATAATAATTACACAAATGATAATAATAATAATATTTTATTCGTTGTGTCGTTTTCGACATGATGAAAAAATGTTAGCAGTGTAATGTAATGATGCAATGCATTTAAATTTGTCTTAAGTTATAATAATTATTCCTGTAACTACTTTTCATTTGTTTTCTTTGCTCCCTGTTGTAAATGTTACGTTTTTGTTTAAACTTCCACAGCTACTGCGATTGGTTCTATACACATTACTGTAGGTTTAATTTCTAAGGTAATTATAACATATTTGATATCATTGTAAAGAGAATTTCAAGTTCTTTAAGAATATTACAGAAAAAAGTAACCATTCTATTAAAAAAAATTAACTTGTTTTCTGATGTTCTTTTGTTTTTATATCACTTGTTTTTTAGAATATGTAACTTTATTAGAATTTGAAAGTAGAGTATTTTTGCCTCTTTTTCTATCTCCAATAATAAAAGAGATACACGCTTGGACATGCAAAATAAATCTCTGTATAACCTAGATGGCGCGGTTGTAATACAATTTGTAAAGTCACTAGATATAGAAAGTACCCCAATCATCATTTTGGGCAAATTTGCTGCCAACTTAAAAAAATTTTATATTTTATAACCTAACTTCATAGTACTGTCATATTTTATAAAAATATATACAGATAGCTCCAAACAGGTGGAACAATCCCTAACATTAAAGTTACTAGAAACTGGTAACTTCCGCCATTTTTGGGCAAAAATCATGCGTTCTCTCTCTAACACACGAGTCCAATGGATTGCGGTACTTTCTATATTTAGTGACTTTAACAATTTGAATGAGCAGTTTAACATGGATTTAATAATTAAATTTACCCTACATTCATTTCATTTTACTGAATATAATTAATTACAGTATCTATCTATTCCACCTTCACGAGACATCCATATTGAGCTCCTTGGCGTGTTACAAGGTTTCAAGACATACATTGATTTTTTTTAAACTGAAGTCATTTTAATACATTGCGCTTGTAGCAATGGATTGAGAGTAGTACCACCCTGCATACCAATGGGTTGCTTCTTGGTTTGCTTGAAAAGTGTGACTTGAGGGCACGGGGCAATGTACTTACTGCATTAGACTGAATATTTAACTGTGTTTTTAATGACTTGAATTTGTAGAGGTATAGACAAAGCGAAGAAAGCGACCATATGCAGTTGTTTAATCTAATCTTACGAATGCTAGAATATGAACCTTTGCAGAGGATTACTCTACGAGAAGCTCTTGCACATCCATTTTTCGATAAAATACCGGCGCATCTTCGACTTGGAGATCCACAAGGTTCGGTCGACATTAGACGAGAACGTAGTCTTTCAATTTCCCGATGAAAGTGGTAGTACCAAGTTTTGTTATCGCCTTATTTATTTGACTAATTAAGACGTCCGATTATATTCTTAGTTAATGAAATCTACGTGAAAATAATGCAAATTTGCGAATCTTGATCGTGCGTGGGTAAATTTTATATGCGCAATTTCTTATTTATTATGTCGTGAGAATACGTTTGAAAGACATCACAAATTATGTTACCCAAGACTGCTTAGCGCAAGTTAAAATTTGTAACACGAGAATTATAAAAAATTCTTAATTGTATAATAATTTTCACATCCTGTTGTAAAATATAAGTTGTAAAAATAGAAGAAATTCGTTAGATTATAAGAATTTAGTTTTGTATAATTTGTATGAAAAATTTTCATTTTTCGTGAGAACTGCTCTAGGAAAAGATTATACATTGTGTATTGTATATATTGCAACATACAAATTAAAATTTTACTTTTCATTAATTTGCTTTTATGATTTCAATTTGTACGCTGTTGTAATAGGTTCCCTACAATTTAAAAAATCACATTTCTTCCCTGTGACATTTAATCCTTACCTACCATATAATTCTCTCATATCTCTTTTTAAAGTACGCTACTTTTGAAAATACTGCCCTACTTTTAAAAACAACCCTCTGGCACCAATTGTTCAAGAACAGGAATACTTTATACATTTTTTTATGGAAAATTTGAATATGGCATCTTGTTTTAATAACTTTCAAGATATCGAGAAACACTTATTTTTTCTTATGGACGCCATTTTGAATTTTGCCATTATGAGATTACGTCTTTTTCTCTACATTAATATATCACATGGCGGCTCAGTATGACATTTTTCCTAAAAATAAAATTGTCATTTTTTGGGAAGAGTGATTTGGAAAAACAAAAGTTGCTTGTAAGTAGTGTCGTTTACGTTTGTGCCAGTGTTATTGCAAAAATACCTTTTTCAAGTGCAGAACAAAGATATGATACAAATTTACTACCCTTCAAAATGCCCACAAAGCTGCTGCAACCTATTTGCAGTGTTATGCAGATCAGCAACAACCTAGTTTGAGGTATTTTTCTTTGCTGTATAAAAACTTGGACGAATATGGTCTTTTAAAAGATGCAGACAGCAATATGATAGGTACAATGAATAGCATGAAATTTTACACGATTACAAATACTAAAATATATTTCTGCGAAATAAATTGTTCTGACAACTGAGGGCGCAGTTGCTAGGGTAGGCTCAGGTGCGACGAAGACCCCCCCTACGTTGCCCTCGATTCCGCAGTGCGCTGGCACCCAATCCAAGCTTCTCCACTATGGCTCACTTAATTTATGTGTATATAGGCTTATGAGTCAAGAGTGTACTTAATTGCTTGAACTTTTCACTTAAGATGAATGCATAAATTATATTGGATAATTAAAACTCATTACCCAATCAAACTTTTAAATTCTCTCAGTTTATCTGAATTTTAGTTACATCATTAACAAAATTAGCTCATAACCATTACAATGAAAGATGAACTTATTGCAAATGGAGTGTTAATCGCGGGTCTGACCCTGAGGGAGCAGGGAGGGGCACATAATATTTGTTTAGGTTCAAATTAAGCGAGCAATTGAATGCGCACATTTTCTGCGATTGAACGTACCCAATCTGTCAGAACATTAGAACTATTAGTAGTAGTTCTGATGTAAAGGAAATTATTTATTTTTGATTTGGGTTGTTGTGTTGTATTTATGAGTAAGATTTATTGTATGGAGAATCTTATAAATAATTAGTATATTGCAATATCCTTTTTAAAACGTATTTAGCAATTGTATATCAACAATGAGTACATACGAAATAAGTAAATCATCGGTAAGTTTATCATTTTGTGATTTGGAATGTAGGTTACAATTTTGTCCCTTTTAGTTGCTGAGTTTAAAAGCTGAAATATTACGAAAACAAGAAGAATTGAATAAAACAAAACTTGAAAATCAGACAAAAACAGCACCCACTAAAAAATTAACACTGTTAGAAGTGAAAAACAAAGGTGTAGAACAACGTACTGTTAACGATATCAGCGAGGAAGATGAAAATTTGCTTAAAAAATCAAGGTAGAATTATGTTAACGAATACAAGGTTTACATAGTTTAACTTTTAGGAGTATTCTGGAAGCCAAAGCGAAGTTATACGAAAAACTCATGAGACGAACAAATTTTACAGATGAAGAACTTGAACACAATCAAAGGTATTTGGTACGATTCCATAAAAAGTCACGAATACCTGACTTACCTCCGGATTTAGATGATGAATTGGATGATAAATATCCAGATTCTGATGAAGAACGTCATTTTTCAGATGAATATGAACCTCCAAAAAATCCAGAAGAGGACTGGTAGGTAGTAAACATGACCATGCTTTTTATTTGTTATTTGTGAAATACCCATATTTTTGAACAAATTTCCATTATTTTATTTGTTTCGAAAAACTGTTCCTTTCCCATTTCTAGATTTTACCTACTTGTTTATATGTACAGGGTGTGTCAACGATTTCGCGGAGTAACTTAATGCCTTGAAGATAAGATTTTTCGGTGGAGTGCTTTTGTATTATGATATGGTTGAATATTCTCCACATTTTAAAAATATTTGGAATTATACATGGTGCGCCCACAAAGTAGAGCGCCAAAATGGTACATTTTTTAAAATACAATCCCCTGTATTTAAATGCATTTTTGAGTTCTACGTGTAATTGTACGTCTTTTTTATTATATGGTTAATATCCGAAAAGCTAGTAGTTTTAAAGATATTTGATTTTTAAGAAAAATTGGGCATTAGCAAGCGTCTATATTGTCAAAATTATTACTTAAATTTTGATTCCAGGTTTTATATCTTTTATCCTGGGTTAAGTAAAAGTCAAATAAATACATCTACTATGAAAGATTAAAAATATACCAGGGTGTTTTTTTGGTAGATCCAAAGTTGCAGAACTTCATATTAAAAAATCTCACTTTTTTAAATGGAACACCTTGTATATTTTTCTGTCATCATTTAGGTCCTCCAAAAACCTTCAACTTTTGATAATGTCTTATACTTATCTCTGATAGTTTTCGAAATATCTTGGTTTTCCTGGTTTTTATATTCTAATCTTAAATAAGTTATATGTAATTTACATAAAAGTGAGGTGGCCATGCAAAAAAAGGCAAATTTTTTCTGGAATATCTTCAGAAGTAACCGGAATTTTCCGGTTTTCTTTACAGCATCATAATAATTGTTTCATTGTGCAACTTTTCCCTAATTTGACTGTATCTACTATGGCTTCCTTATCTTGGACGCAATATATATAACAAACAAGCTACTCTACTCTCAATTCTTAATGATTTATTATGATAATCTACTCGAAGAACGCATCCACATACTGTATTTTTTGTAAGAGTGAACAACTTCTTAACGCTAATGATCCCCCTTTGTCAATATAAAAATGTTTAATTTCAACATTTTAGGGTAGAATACACAGATTGCTTGGGCAGAACCAGAAAATGCATGAAAAAGGATTTGGCATTTGTGAAGTCAAAAGATGCAGAGCTATTAGCCGCCGTCAATAAAGACGAAAATAAAGTTGAGCAGCTCAGTAAAGCCGGTGGCTCTGTAGTGGAGATACACGAATCTGGCGAACCGAAGCTCTCGAATGCGAATGAGTTATTATCGAGTGATATGAGAAGGGAGTTGTTGCGGCAACAGTGGGAAAAAGCAGAGGACCAATTGAGAAAAAAAGACGATATACATTATCAAGATATTTTATTCAATGGTAAGAATTGTTTGGGACTGACTGAAATTGTCTAAACTTACTTGTTAGAGGCAAGAACTCATGGTGTTGGTTACTATGGATTTTCAAAGGACGAGGAAGAAAGAGCCAAACAGCAGGAAGCATTAAAAAATTTGAGGCAAGAAACTGAACAAGAACAAAAGAAGGCGCAAGACTTACGAGAGTTAAGAGAAACACAATTGAAGGCCCGTGCCAAGGCTGCTAGAAATCGTAAACGAGCTAGGATGGGATTACCACCAGAAGAAGATGGTAAGTTCACAATAACGTTTGCACATGGTACAAAGGTTGTTACAGAACCGGAAGTTGTGCAACCGGAAGAACCCCCTAAAAGTGAAGTATCAGAGAAACCCGTAGAGAATGAGAACAAGGATCAAGAAAAAGAAGCTGCCCGGAAAAATCATGTGCGTCCATGGGATATAGGGAAGAAAGGTGTTAAAGAACATTACGAATATACACAGGAGGAATGGGTCGATAAGAAGCGGAGGGAAAGACCTAAAGATTTTGCACCTCCATCTTCGTATAAGAACAGTTTTAGACGAGATCCAGAAATTAGAGAAAATGTGGAACCGGACAAGAAATTATATTTCTCGACAAAGAAAAATCGATCAACGTATAAAGAAGAGAAGCAACCTCCAATGCGTCCTAAACCAATTGTGAATGAATGTGATGAAAGTCCAGAATCTGATAGTCAACTTTGTGAGAAAGAAGAGAGGAGATCCAACGAGGATACTAGAGGTAAACGGGCAGAATTTGCACCGCCCCCTACGTACGATTACTACGGTCCAAGTGATGCCAAGAAATCTAAACCTAGCTATAGCAAAGGAAATTTAGTAGAGTCGATATCTGCAGGGTTGCAATTTTTAAGGGAACAAGCTGAGAAGAAAGGTAATTCTAATAAACATGATGAAGATATGTTTTTAATTTAATTATTCTATAAAATATATTATTATTATTATGATTATGCTTTTTAGACTCCTTATGTACTCCTTTAAAGGAAATATAAATGTGAATTCAGTCAATCATTGGACAACTGTATAACTGATAAAATTTTTCAGTAGATTGACTTAACTTCATTAACCAATAACAACCGCACTCATTTTGTTAAGTAACTAAATTAAAAGTTACTTTATGTATGTATGTACAGGGTGATCCAAATTCGTGACTCACCATTGAGATCTCCGTAACGGTGAGAGATACAGTGTAGGTTAAAGGCGGCTGTTGTCCCTTTTAGTGACTAAAAAACGCATTTGATATTTTTGAAAAATCTGAAAATAACTGAAATATGGAAAAATTGAAAATGTCAAATTTCATTTTCCCTAGCTTAAACGGTCGGAAATGGACGGTTACCGTTAGCACCGTCTATAGGTACTTTCTTTCAGAGAATCATAATTTCAAACAGTTCCAAGATTCGGCTACTAGTTCAAAAGTTACAGCCCTTTGAATTTTCTTTTGAAATTGGTTTCTAGTCCATAACTTTTGATTGAGAAGTCTGATGGAAAAAGTACGAATTGTTTTGGATTCTACGCACCAAAATTAATAAGAAAAAGTGTTTTCCCGAGAAATTTTGGTGTAGTCGATTTTTGGTAAAAAAGGAAGGTTAAGTATTCAAATACTTTGCGAAGTATTCGAATACTGCATATTTGTGAAAGTATTTGAGTTACAAATACAAATACTGCTTCCATAAAAGTATTTAATTACAAAGTATTTGAATTATACTTTAAAGGATTTGAATACTAAGAAGTATTTACAAAATCGAATACTGCCCAGCTCTGTTCATAGGCATAAAATGGCAGAATCGCGCATACGCAGGTGTGTGAGTGGTATCTGTGCTAGTCACAGCAAATTTGTTGTACCTACTACAGTAGTTATAGCGAGAGCAATTTGAAAGAAAGAATTTTTTATATTTTGGATCATGATATCTTGAATATAAAAATACAAAATTCATTCATAAAGCAACTTAAGAAAGTGTCGGGTAATTATTAAGTAGGTGATGAATCTTTCCAGGCGATTCTTTAGTAACTCAAATGAAAACTACATGTTGGCGCAACAAATATCGAGTTCGAGAAAAAAAAATTCGAAAGCGGCATTTGGTGTGTTGCCACAGAAGTGACTCCTTACTTTCTCTCTCACATTCCGTCATCCCGTCTTTTTGCCGCGATGCATTACAGAGATAATCGATGGATTGGAGTATTACAAGTAGGTAAATATTGTTGTGTACACTATGTCATGCGCTTGTTTTGTTTCGTTTCCACATTTGCATTAACGATGAGACCACCCTCTATTTTGACGTTAAACGTGGTTGTAAATTGGGATTGAACGCAATGCGCCGATCATGTCATTAATAATTGCATTGTTTGTTTTGTTTATTCAATCGTAACGTATTTACGTGTTATACGAACATCTGGAAATGATTAGCATAGTATTTCTTAAAGTTTATCTCATGCTTTCTCCGGACGTAGATAAGAAGTTTTCTTATCGCGGCGTACACTAATTAAGAGTTGTTAAATAGGAGACGCGGGTCAAGCGCTTTTTGTTTGGTGGGCGTTTTTTTTACTCTATGCCTGTAGCGAAGCGTTTTGTAAGATAGGCAGCATTTGCCATATTTGGGCCTATTTTGCAAGACAGTCCATCTTGCCGCAGTTATAAAGTTTTGTGGAAGGAAGTGGTTAAAGAAATTTAAGTCGTTGTGTTAAAGGTCGAGATCACGGAAGTGTGTTTTCCGTTTACAAAAAAGTTTAGTCGTACTTGTGCTGTTGGCCGGTTATCAAGCGTTTTCAAGTTATCAGTTAAAGGGGGTTTTGTGTACCATCCAAGGGTCAATTTTACATCAGTAATTATAACGTGGTCTGTGAAGTGAAGTGCAGTTCCGAAGTATCATCTTTTGTGCATCTCTTAGTTTGAAAATCGCAATTGATCGTAGATTTTGAATTATTAACAATTTAAAGTAATTAAGATTTGATTTAATTAATTGTCCATTGATCACCTGTGCCTGTGTTTATTTTAACCTGATTGTTTTGTCAAATAAATTTGTTTCATCTGTAAATGGTTGGTTTTGCGGTTAATCGAGCCCAAATTATGTCCCAATGTTAATGTTAGTACCCGAGCTTAATTCAGCTAGGACAGGTGTTTTGTGGGTGGCTTATTAGAATTTTTTATTTGGCGCCCAACGTGGGCCACATAGCATTATAAAGCGCCAGGTTCGAACCCGCACAATTTGTACATGACCATATCATTTGGCTGTGTCTCCCTACCCACCGTTAATACCTATACAACACAGGTGTCTTTGTGTTGTGTTGGACAGCGCTGTTTGAAGCGCCTTCGTTAACCTAACAGTTCGAATGGTTTGATTCTGGGATTACCGTTAATTGTTGACGACACCACTGGAGGTATTCATTGCGCCATTACTCACCGTATTTGACGAATTCGCTCACGCCGCCGCCTAACCGTCTTGTCATTTTGATACACTACCTACCGTTCTTAAATTATGACTCACAGATTACCTTCGTTCACACGATGTTTTATCGGGTTCACCTCTAGCTGTACAACTTTATACAAATCCCATCCAAAATTAGATTAAGAACATTTATAATTAATTATGTTTATTGTTAAGTACATTATAGTTTTTAAGAGTGATGTACCTACATACAAAAAATATGATGCTTTAGAAAGTTTTCTCTTGTAATTTTTCATAATTTACCAATCATTTTCGGATAATATAGCTTTCGTATTGCAATGTAAAAAATGGAATCAGATCTATTTCAATGAATGTGATAAACCGTTCATTAACTGAGATAATTTAAAGCCAAAAAGGCCTCCTTTTTTGCCGCGTACTCATTCAGTCTGATCGCCGCATATCTAAAAACATGCCCAATGTACAAAGTAACAAATTCAGTGAAAAACTTACCCCATAAAATCAAAATCTATAGTCGAATATTCGGCTTGTAAGAGAGCCCAAACACCCCAAAACATGTGCGACGCCAGTGCGAATTTGTTCGCCTGTACATACAATTTGTGAATATCCCTATCAGAAATCTCTTCAGAGTTGTGTAATTCGGATAAGTACGCTCGCAGCCAGTTCCATTGCAACTCCTTATCCGGGTAATTCGAATAATCGATATTTTCGAAACCTGTAAAATGGCTTGTACCAAACCTACGTCTTGTGAAAAAACAAACATACCTACCGACGAATTCATTAAAATGATTTCCAACGTCAAAGGCTTGGTAATTTACTCCTGAGTATTCAAAATCTATAAATTCGACACTTCCTTTCTCTTGAGAATAAATAATGTTATTAAGTAGCAAGTCGTTGTGGGTGAAAACGAGTGGGCTGTTGAGTTTTATTAATTTCTTTTTGAGCATGTTAATTTCATCTTGCATTTTACAACGTGGCATTATAGTAGCGTTGTACCTACCAAAATTCAGTATAAGACCTATCAAACAATGTAAATTTACCTCTCATGTTTTGCACTGTCCGAAAAGGTCTCTGGTAACATGTTGAAGAAATCTTCTAATTTTTCCCATAGCATAGGTTTTTTTGCAAGATCATTAGGTAATTGTACCTTATGCATGTAAGCTAGATGTGTTGCAATTAGTTTGTAAATTTCAGGTTGCCTAATCGTATTGCAATTTAATGTTCTACCAGGTATATACTCATAAGCTAGACCATTCTCGAAGCTTGCATACAGGCGCGGTGGTAATCCTAAGTTGTTTAATATCAGAATGGTTCTGAAAAAAAAGACAGAGTATACCGAAAGTACAATCGATCAAATTTTACCTCTTTTCCGCATTTCTGTCTATCATTAACTCAGTTTTATTTCCATAAACACGTACAAGTACAGCTTCATGAGGGGGACCGTTTTCTTCGCGACATCGTATTAATTTATTGGTGTAGCCATTTGTTAATACCTAACGAAACAATATGATAAAATTGACATACATTATTGCGGGCATAATATCAATTAAATTGTAAACAAATAAATTGCAATTTAACAGCTCACCAAAATGTATACCTAATAATCAATCACAGAATAGTTAAGTACCTACTTAACCCAGTTATATTTAAAATTATTGACTATTAAGATTTGTTGAAAATAAATAATGATTGATAAAGGTTATTATATTAATAGAAGTTCTTGCATGATACAAAAATGGAAATTGCAAAAACATTATGATTTAATGCAAATAGCTCCCCATGATACGTATTGGATTAGTATTTAAGTCACATTTCTTAAAAAAGTCTAAGGTCATATTCATAATTAAATAAATCCTTTACCCAGTTCCCGTCCCCGTTTGAACAGCTTTCGCCCAGGAAATGTTCAAAATGTGAGCTTGCATATGAATTTATGCAAAACTTAAATAAGAGTACCTATGGTGCCAATGAATCTGTCAGAGAAGTATTATATAGATACCCATATCAAAATGAAATTTTGTAAGTAATACATAAATGCGAGGGGGAAACCACTTCCTTAAAATTTGTACACCAGATTGAAAATGGAAATAATGAGAGGATTGAAGTGTGTAATGAAAGATTGAAATAATAATGAAAGAATGAAATCGTAAGAATTGAATATGAACTATTCGTTTTTGTAAATAATGAAACCGTTAATGAAAAATATTTATAACCGTAATAAGAAAAAATGAGGAAATGAAAAATAAATGAAGAGAATTCATAGAATGAAAAAGAATTAATCTTAGAATTAATAGAATGAAAAGAGAATGAACAGATTGAAAGTAATGAAACTGATAATGATAATATTGAAAGATTGAAAATGGAATGAAACTGGAATGAAAAATTCATGTACACCAAATTGAAAGAGTGGTTTCCCCCTCGCATAAATGGTATCAGAAGGAGAATTTTTAGTATATTTTTCACTTTCTGGTCACATCTGGTTTCACCGGAAATGATTCCGGTTTTGGATTTTGAAATAGAACACCCTACATATTTTTTCATTTGTTTGAGACAATTCTGGATCGGAATGTTTTTACGCTCACTTCATTTTTTTAGTCACTTTTTAATATTGCACCTAGGTGGCCATGAACGGACTTAAACTAACCTCAGACGATGGGAGAAAATTGACAATATGACACTGTTTTACAGTTTTTGTAACTAATATGATAGATAGGAATAACACAAGTTAGCAAACTCACATTTCCCCGTCTAACATTTTTCAAATGGCGATCGTTTTTTGACAAGCACTTTCCAAAAAAAGGATTTTTGGCCGAATTTAACGATACCAATCGACTTCCAACTAGATTAAAAATAAAATACCTCAAAAGCTTCAAAATTCCTTGAAATATCTCGAAAGTTCTACCAAGTGTAAAAATATCACAGTGATTTCCCCTTGGTTTGACATAGAATGTCATTGCAGCTCAGTAGGTAGTCCGGCACTTGACCGTGGGAGAATTCTGGGGTCAGTGAGAATGGGCCACCTCCTAATTTCGGAAGTTGGCCCAGAGTGCAAGATCATATTTTGACAGTTGACCTAGCGTGCCCTCAGATCATATTTCGGCTCGGGGTGCGAGATTATATTTTGGCATTTGACCAGGGGTGTGTGAAGGTATTGCGGTAGTTGGGCCGGGGTCCTTTGGCAGTTGGTCCGGAGTTATTTTTGGTAGTTACATTGAAGGTCTCATATTTTGGGCAGTTGACCTGGCGTGCGAGACTGGATGCAAATAACAATTTTCTACTTTCTAATTGTTTTTTACATAGGCAATAAAACGGTTAAAGACAATTAGATAAGTGTGGAATTCGCACACGAACCAGGGATGTTGATCTGCGCATGCGCCAAGTTCAAAGTTATTCGTCCCCAAGGTTATTGCTAATAGGTTATTGAGTGAGTCAGATCTCTAACCTGAAAACAGGGATCTGGTTCCGCATTCAACATGGCAAAATGGTCAATGACACTTAAACGATCAAAAACCTATAATTAGCTATATCCTTTAGCATGTGGCGAATAGCCTTGAACCAGGAGCATGTGTACATCTCAAGGTCAAAATAGGTATGCTGTAACTGGTGTTACTTCTCACAAACATCCCTGCTTTGAATTCCACGCTTATTACTTAATTTTTATTTATTCCTTTTTAGCGCCCATTTAAAAAAATCAATTAGAAAGTAGAAAATTATTATTTGTATCCAATCTCACGCTCCAGGCTCACTGTCCAAAATATGAGACCAACAAATAACACCGAAATTTGATGACCGTCTGTGCCAGACCTTCAAGGTATAGGCTATATGTATTGCAAAAAATTTCAGGACTTTAGGACCATTCCCCTAAAAGTAGTTCAAAACCGCAGAAGTGGATCCAGACGGACGGACAAACAATAGCACATATTTTTAATTCTTAAAAAATTCGCTAAAAATTCGTGTTAAATCTGATCAAAGAATGAAATGGTGTATCTAATGCATCTGCATCGCTCATCGTGCTATTTAAAATGGTCATGGATATGGTTACGGAGGATGGCCACCCAGCCTAGGGGGACGAAATTAAAGTTGTGGTTAAATTTGTTCTCTGTTGAATACAAAATTGAGGCGTTCGATTTTTTTTAACTTTCAAAGGGTGACAGAATTCAAATGTTAGTTGAGACACCTGTTTGTATTTAAAAACAAGTACAAATTGTGCACAACTCTTGTGCAGATAAAGCGCATTTTTTTAACCGAAATAGCTTTTGTTTTGGCATCACCAATGGATATATTTCTTGCAGACGTCTCAATCGCCCTTTGTGAGTATCTTCTTCTGACAATCCGTTGTTGAGGTATAAGGGAATATACCTGATCACGATAAGAGGTCGAGGAGGAGGGCCATGGTTGGTATCAGGTTGTTCGGAAAGTCATTTCGTTTTTCTTCAACAGAGAACCTAATTGTATTGTTTCACAGCCAACTTTACACTTAAGTCGCATAAACATTAAAATTTTGACAGCTGACATAGTAATGCTTGTACCTATGTTAAAAGTTTTGTTTGATTCTTTGCAATAGTTTTTGTTTGGTGCCCTATCAAAGATGGAAAATCAAAATCAGCATTTTCGACATATTTTACTCTTTTACTATCGAAAAGGTAAAAATGCAGTTCAGGCAAGGCGGAAATTGTGCGATGTGTATGGAGAAGATGTACTGACTGAACGACAATGCCAAAATTGGTTTGCAAAATTTCGTTCCGGCAATTTCGATCTTGAAGATGCACCACGTTCTGGAAGACCCGTTGAAGCCGATGGAGACGAAATAAAGGCATTGGTAGATGCAAACCGTCAAATAACAACTCGTGAGATTGCTGAGAGGTTACATTTATCGAATTCGACCGTTCATCATCACGTGAAACGTCTTGGTTTTATTTCAAAACTTAATATATGGGTTCCACATGTTCTTACAGAGCGAACGACTGTGATTTGCTTCTCAAACGTCAAGAAAATGATCCATTTTTGAAGCGTATCATTACTGGCGACGAGAAATGGGTTGTTTACAAAAATGTTAAGCGGAAGAGATCATGGAGTAAAAAAGGTGAACCAGCTCAAACCACTGCGAAGGCCGATATTCACCAAAAAAAGGTTATGCTATCTGTTTGGTGGGATTTCAAAGGGATAGTTTTTTTTTAGCTTCTACCGGACAATACCACGATTAATTCTGAAGTGTACTGTGGTCAACTAGACAAATTGAACGATTCACTTAAACAGAAAAGGCCAGAATTGGTCAATAGAAAACGTGTAGTGTTCCACCACGATAATGCGAGACCTCACACAAGTTTGGTAACCTGCCAAAAGCTTTTACAGCTTGAATGGGATGTACTACCACACCCACCATATTCTCCAGATTTGGCACCTTCAGACTACTACTTGTTCCGGTCTCTGCAAAATTTTTTGGACGGGAAGACCTTCACCTCAAATGAAGACGTCAAATTTCACTTGGACCAGTATTTTGCCAGCAAAGACCAGAAGTTTTATGAGCGTGGAATCAATCTCCTGCCCGAAAGATGGCAAAAGGTATTGGACCAAAATGGAGAATATATAATTTAATAAAATGTTTATACACTTTAAAAAATTCGTCTTTCATTTTCACCACACAAAACGAAATGACTTTCCGAACAACCCCAATAGAAATTAATTCCTTTCGTTGAGACCTTTCATTACAGTACCACCCCCTCCATCCCGTACTTTGATAAGAAGACAGAAAGAAGAGCAGTAGTTGGTAGAAAACGTTCCTTTTGTTGAGACCTTTAATAGAACACAATAAGAGATAAAATTATTTTGTAACCCCCCCCCCCCCCAAGCCCCCGTACTGCAAAAAATTCCAGGACTCTAGGACCATTTCCCTAGAAGTAGTTCAAAACGGCAACGGCAAACAATAGCAGATTTTTTTTTAATTCGTAAAAAAATGCGCTAAAAATGGTACCTTCCCTTAAATAGTGTACGAAATCCGTTTTATTTATTATATTGATTTCAAGGCGAAGAGGGCTTACTCATAAACTTTACATTATGCAAAAGAGAATAAAGAGACCAGTTTTGGATTAGTCAGGGTCATCTGTTATCAGGGGAAAATTTCATCACTTGCAATAAAGAGCAGTTTTACCTTACATTAGTGGCGATTGTCGTACAGAAGTTGCTGATATTCGAACCGTAACGGTTGTGACTTGTGGCCTTACGTATCGCAGAACAATTTGGGGTGAGTTCTTTTGATGTAATTAGTGAAACGATATTTATAGTTTTTAATTTGAGGATTACGAATTTTGGATTTTCCAAATATAAATCACGGAAATTTTTTCGTATTCGCGCTGCAAATTTTTGTGTATAGTTTTGATAGGCATCATGTCATGTTTTTTAGGGCGCCGAGCATACATTTTCCAATGATTTGTCCATACCTACCTATACACAAGAACATTTTTTTGCCAAACATCATATTTGTGTTAAGGGAAACTTTGAAAAAAACATATTCAAAAACCGTTTGGGTTAGTCTATGGTTATTCTTATTTCCTATAGCAAATTTTGCAGTGATTTAAAAAATGAATAATAAAATTACAGTATCCAATCCATTTAAAATAACGAAGTGACTCAATTACCGGTATACCTATATCTAACCATATATCATCAATGATGATTCATCATCATATAAAATTTGAAATATTTTAGTTGAAACGGACACATGGAATAACAAATTGCACGAAATTTATTCGCATTAAGTTTTCCAGATAACACTCTACCCAGCTCACTGTTGGACACTCAGTATCTAATGCGATTTAAATAGGCAAGTGGGTTTTGCCAAAAAGAAAGTTTCTTTTCATAAAGTAGCATTTGTTTTTGAAGATGACTTCTTATCGCTCGGTGTGCACGGTGTTTTAGGCGGGAGTAAAAAAATATTCTGTACTCGTTATTTTTTTGTTATTTGCGACATTTTCAATTAACTACATTCGAAATTAGATCAATCACTAGTAGGCGGGGGACACTTTGTAACCCGAGGGCTCAATCTTCAAATGAGTATAATTTTTGTTTGAAAAGTGATTTTAAAAAATCTGTTCGACAATTTTGTTCCTTAACTCATCAAGTATGTACCTACACAACAAATTTGGTGGAATTCTCTCCATTTCCGTTATCCGGCCAAGAATTGCAGTGGAACTTTTTTTTTTCGAATTTTCAAAAACTAATTCCAAATTCGGCATTTTCATGTTCAAAAACCCCCGGATACCAAATTTCGTCGAAATCAGAATTTTTTTTGCACCCCCAAGTAGGGGTGCGCCCTTTCATGGTAGGAATTTTGAAATTTTTTTCAAAATCGGATAGGGCATACCCGAAAACCTATTCAAAGACATACCACCCATCTCTTATGGTTGCTGAGAAAAAAATTTAAAAAAAATCAAATTCCACCAGTTCTTTGATGGTGGCTCGCCCAAACGAAACACGTTGGACCCTCGGTTTATTTGGAAAAAGTGCTTGTCTTGATCCCCTCTATCACCCAATTTTTTTTTACATGCGGTCATGTAACACCCTGTATAAACTATCCACCACGAAATTAATGAATAAATGAAGATTTTGCTCTACCAACTTAATAACCAAAAAGTGAGTAAAACGGAAAACCATAAAATCTAGTGACTGCATCAAGTCAATGTGTTTTATATTTTACCCCATGAAATTATTGAATTAATAAGTATTATGCTCTACAAACCAAAAAAGGAACTATGATAGGACGACTACAAGATCTAGATCTAGTGTAATGTGTTCTGCCGTTCTCCTGACAAAATTGATGAATAATTGAACACTCGTAATAGTGCATTTTATTTTTTGAAAAATGCGATAAAAACGGACGGGCGGACAAAGAGAGGGATATCCTAATTTAATAGGATTTTTTGCTGAAAAATTGACAAATCCGGAAAGAACATTTAAGTTAGTTATTGTGCATCTAGAAAATGCATTTTGCAAAATTAATGAATAAAGGAAGATTTTGCTTTGAATTGGTTTTATCTTCACAGGGGCTTGTAACGACATGACATTTCTACTAGCGAAGTGACAGCGTAAGATGTCAATATCTAAAAAATTGAGTGTCAGGGGACCCAATTATTTACTAAGCTATTTCGGTTTAAAATATGCGCTCGTGCACAATTTATACTTGTTTTTAATCAGCCAGAGTAAATTTATAAATGCTATTTGTTGGCAAAGTTAACTTTGTACATGAAAGATCACCGACAAAAGTAATGAGAATCCGATGCTTAATGCCATTTATGCAACCATACAGTATCTAAACTAGCAACGTTGAATTGTAAGTTTCCCGGCGGGGATTCATGGGGGATGGGCCGCACGGCATTGCGTATTGTCGTGCTTGCTTCGGTATAATTCCAAGAATTAGTAAATCTTTTTTTGAATTTTGCGTATTGGTTTTCCCAATTGTTGCAATACACCTACTACTCCCTTTATATCAAGGCAGGGACGAAGAAACTGCTAAAAGAAGAAACAAGACGCGACGCGTACAGCCCCTAACAATGGAAATTTTAATAAATACCTTGTTAATTACCTGTTCGATAAGTAGTATGTTCGTATTATGATTCTTCCAATAAAGGGAAATGTGATTCGCTGAGGGAATATAAATTACCACTTCATCGGTTACTTGTTCTGAATTGTACGCTATTTATCTCTATTTTTTCGATTTGGAGTAAAAAGAAAAGGATTCACTGACATTAATTACAATTTTTGGACTTTCGGTTTGGCTGAAAACAACCTAAATTTAAAAAAAAATAGAACAAACTGTTTTTTTTTACAATTGAATTATGCAATATAAAAAAAACACACAAGTACTATTCAAATCTTTAACTTTATTTTTTTACTGCGTTTACGTGGGTCTTTTTTGTCAGTGTGTAACAAAACTGGATCACTAAAATAAGAACTTAATATGAATAAGAATATATGTAATGCATAAAATCCAGTTTTACCAACTTTTGTAATTATACTACAAGTCAGTGGCCCGTCCCACACGAATTCCCGCTGGAAAAGTTACACTTCAACGTTGCCAGTTTAGATAGTGTATGGTTGGTTGCCTAAGTGGCAGTAAGCTTCCGATTATCGTTACTTTAGTCTGTGATCGTACATGTAGGGACTAGAAAGTGTTAATGAATCATTTACCTATTATATTAATAAGTATGAAATGAGGACTGATTCTGATAAGGAAGTTTATTTCAAATCTATATGGTATACATGCCTAAATATTTTGTATTTGTAAAGACGGTTTTGGTAATTTTCTGTTACATAAATAGAAAACTTTACGTGGTCCCTGATTTACTTGTTTATTTCAAAAAAAATTTAAATAATTACTTGTACTTTAATTCATGGCCAAATCTTATTTATAATTGCATTAAAAACCTATAGTGTGACGTAAATGAGACCAAGCTTAAGTTGCGTATAAATAGGTATGTGTGTGTTTGTTATTAGGATTATCTCAATAACAAAATGCTAACGAATGACGTCTTCAAAGAGTATCTATAACCGTTACAAAATTAAGCCAAAATATTGTGTTCATTATCAAATTCTGTGAAATATGCAAATGAAAATACAGAATTCACACTTGGGTAGGTATAGCTACTAGAATTTAAATTCAGGCAAGTAAGTACCTACTGGGCTACTGCACAACAAATGTTGGGGAAAAGTTATGTACATTTTGGCATTTATATGCACAAGGACGTCTAACCTACTTACATCAAATTGTACGTTTTCCAAATTCCAAAAAGGCCTTATTTCTTCTATAATTTTTCGCGCGCCTTCTGTCAGCCTATTTTCATCGACCGATAGTTTTAAATGCGGCACGCCGTTTGACCCCTCCATTTCTTCAGTTTCTGTTCCTGAAACAAAGCAACATGCAGGTACTAAATTTAGCCAGTTGCTGGAAGAGTGGGTAAGAAAGAGGGCGTTAAACTTACACCATTCAATATTCAGTGATATTTTAAGCATATGCGTATAGGTGTTTATCAAATACTCCTATCTACTTTATCCGGAAGTACGTTATCTGATTATTTTATTGCGATTACTACAAACATAAAACGATATCCTCAAAAAACCTATATACATACCTACATAAGCTTAATAAATTACCCTTTACGTCCAAAGAGCGATTTAAACGATGCTGCAGGGTCAAAAATTGTTTATGTAAGAACTTTTTACAACACAAATTGGGTACTGTTAACGCGTTTATCAATTTTCCTACTTAAAAAATAAAAAAAAATATTAACTCCGCTTATCGCTATCTTTTAAAGCAAAAAACACGTGTTAAATACTACGTCACTATCAAGCGAATACTAGAAAACGATTTGTTACAAACGCGCAAGTCATTTTATATTGAATGGTGCGGCACGTTGACTAGCACAATGGGCAATTAAAAATTTGACCATGGTTTTTTCAAAAAAATTATCTCCGTTTATAGATTTTCATACTAACCACTAACGTCGTACTGTAAATATAAAAGGGCGCCAACTTCATCTCTCATACCTAATTATACTTACAGCAATATTATTCACAATCCAAGCAGCGCTCACTAAAAAATACTTCAATTCCTCGACGAAATACTTAACGAAGAACTCATCTCAATAAAACTCATATTTTCCACCACAAATATCGTCCTTGAAACATTTCGAACATTGCATTTAAAAGGATGACCGCAAATAGCTACTTCATGTGATAATAAATACAACTTTTTGTTTGTACGTGGAAATGAATCATTTTCCATTCCTTAATTGGATCCAAAGAAGGGAGAAAATTACCTACAAACAATCTTTTTGCGATCAGGAACCGCTTCGGTTTCTTTTACCTAAAATGCTCCAGCGAGTGCTCCAGCTAGGTGGCTATTGCAGTATTGCGATCACCGTTTTTTGGACATGTTAAAATTTCATCAAATGTCGACGTTTTAACTCATTAAAAATAACTTTTAAAGAAAAATTAAGAAACACGTGTATAATCAAGCCTTTAAACACGCGCAACAAGTTTAATGGCACGACGCGCAGCGGAGCAAGTGCTTTAACGACCAATTATACACGTGTTTCTTATAGTAATTTTTTTATTATACCTGCAATATAATTTAAAAATAAGCGAAACAAAATAAATTCATATTGACGTTATGCTCGAACACATGTTTAAAATTAAGTGGACTGTTTATTCGTAATTCTATGATTGCCATGGAAATGTCACATGGTGTTTGCTTATAAAAATCACCGTCTTTGTAAATAAAATGACTTCGGCTGAAAAAGATAATAGGTACACTGGATCCGTTCAATGACTTGTTGCAAAATCAGAAGAAAAGTTGGTAGGTGCAAAATCCAAATCCAGTAAAGCCTATTATAAAGAATGTAAAAAGTTGTTTTCGTGGATGAATAGGAAGCATTTTATGAACAAAAACTAAAATGCATCAATAATGCTAGCATACAGGGTGGTGACTTGCGTAACGCATCATAGGGATTTCAATGTAAAATTCATAACTTGCGATTATTGGCTCCCCAAATTATTTTAGAGCTAAAATGTATTACAGTTTTTTGTAAAAAAAAATTTCTTACGCCAAACCACCGTAGGTATTAGTTTTTTTCATATAAAGACGGAAAATTGGAAAAATAAAACCCGCATCTTTTTCAATAATCTGCGATGCCATGGAATTTTCTAAAACAAAAAGATATCCAGTTATCAATTAGCAGCAGTTCGAAATGGATTTTATGATCGACTTGGTTACTGTATTGCAGTTAATGGCGGCTTTTATTCGAACATTTATTGTAAATTGTTATATTAGGAAACCGTTTTTAGTAATTTGGTCTTTCTTTATGTTGAATTCGCTGTTCTAAATATAATACTTTTTGATAGAACTTGATTTGTTTTATAGCAGACATTTCATGGCATGACGGATATTGACGTAGTTTTTGAAATTATAAAATTCCATGGCATCACAGATTATTGAAAATGATGGGGGGTTTTATTTTTCCAAGTTTCGCCGTCTTTATTATGAAAAAAATGAAAACTATAATACGGTTGATTGACGTAAAAAATTTTTTTCTACGAAAAACCTTAATACATTTTTGCTCTAAAATAATTTGGGGAGCCTGCAATAATCGCATGTTATGAATTTTACTTTGAAATCCCTATTATGCGTTACGCAAGTCATCACCCTGTATAGGTAGCTGTGTGTAAGTTTATTTCTTAGAAAATGTCTTTTATGCGCTCTGTACTTTAGAAAATGGAAACGTTTTTTAACACCTTCTTTAACATAAGAAGGTATATATCTTAAATATGTATACAGCCTGTTTCAGAGTAAGCGCCGTATTTTTTTTAGCCACACTATGGGTACCTTCTATTTTCAAAATATTTGGCAGTAATATATTTCAGGACATTCTCTACAAGTCTGGTGCGATATCAGATTTTCAATGGGAGTATTGTTTAATGGAACGCCATCTTTTTTTATAATTATTCAGAAGATTCTTTTAACCTTTATATATTTATATGCAAAGCTTTTTACGGTAGTATCTCATTTTTCTTAAAAATTCATTTCTTTCCATTCCAAAATAAACTAACATTTCAATCTATTTCAGAATCAAAGAGCTGTAACTTTTGAACTAGTAGCCCAATCTTGGAACTGTGTGAAATTATGGATTCTACAGGCCACGTTCTATAAGAAAAATTTATTTCCGGGACGATCTGAGACAATTTTTTTTTGGGGCAAAAAAAAGGCAGTGTATAACCTTCCTTTTTTCCAAAAATCGACAGCACCAAAATTTCTCGGGAAAACACTTTTTCTTATTAATTTTGGTGCGTAGAATCCAAAACAATTCGTACTTTTTCGATCAGACTTCTCAATCAAAAGTTATAGACTAGAAACCAATTTCGAAAGAAAATTCAAAGGGCTGTAACTTTTGAACTAGTAGCCCAATCTTGGAACTGTTTGAAATTATGGATTCTACAGGCCACGTTCTATAAGAAAAATTTATTTCCGGGGCGATCTGAGACAATTTTTTTTCGGGCAAAAAAAAGGCAGTGTACAACCTTCCTTTTTTCCAAAAATCGACAGCACCAAAATTTCTCGGGAAAACTCTTTTTCTTATTAATTTTGGTGCGTAGAATCCAAAACAATTCGTACTTTTTCGATCAGACTTCTCAATCAAAAGTTATAGTCTAGAATCCAATTTCGAAAGAAAATTTGAATTATACACAACCTCACTTTTAGTATACCGTAGAACCGGGTTACTTTGCCCACATATTTCATTTGAATTCATCATATTTTTTTTTATTAACATTATATTGGTTTATTAATATATACTACACATATACCTAACAAAAGGTGATGTGCATGATACATTTAAGAAACCCTAACGCCTCAATTGCAACTGAAAAAAAAATAAAAAGTAGGTGGGCAAAGTTAAACACACTTTGGGTTTCTTTGCCCACTTCATAAGAATTGTATATTATGGCATAATTAGGCCATGTATGGGTAACTTTGCCCAAGTAAAGTGATTTTAAACTTATTTTAAAGCATAGTTGATTTTAAAAATACACTTTTTCCATCAAAAATACCAATATATTTTGTCAAAACGCTTAAAACTAAACAAAAATTCTTAAGAACTATAAAACAAAATTTAGATTCTAAATATTAAACATAAAATAAAACGTAAAATATCACTCTAAGGTAGGTAGATACATAAAAACAAGGTTCAACATTTTACTTTAAATTAAAACTGGGTTTTATATCACTAAAAATATAAATTCCCCTCCATTTCTCAGTCCCCTGCGTCAAAACTTGTTTTACATCTGAAATGTTAATTATACAGGGTAATTCCTATAGTACCTGCCACCGTTTGGGAGCGTGTAGGTGGTGCGTAGGGGAGTATTTTGATATAGGACACTTGGGGTCGGAAATCTAAAATAAGGGTGCCAGAGCCAAATTTACCTTCTGGAATTTCGCGCCTGTAGGTAGGCAACCCAACCGGCCGGCGGTGCACACGGAGCGATCTCAGGCGGCGATGTGTGGCTGACACTTGATCAGAATTTTGTTTAAACCCACGAAATCCCGTCTGCAACGACGCGTATCAAGTGAATAAACACTATGGCAATAGTATAATAATAGTTGGCTAGATGTAGGAAGTGCATTGAGAACAACGGTGGCCACGTTGAACACTTGTAAACGTTATTGCTTTTGACTGTCGTTTTCCCTCCTTCCCTCCCATGTCGCTTCCTCGCGCTAACTCGCTCTGCATCGCTCCGCGCGAAACGTCGGTCGGTTGGGTTGCCTACATACAGGCGTGAAATTCCAGAAGATAAATTTGGTTCTGGCGCCCTTATTTTAGATTTCCGACCCCAAGTGTCCTATATCAAAATACTCCCCTAGGCACCCCCTATACGCTCCCAAACGGTGGCAGGTACTATAGGAATCACCCTGTAGATGTATCCTCCATGGGAGGAAATATAAAACCAGCCAGGCCTTTCTTCATAAACTTCACAAAAAGCGAGTCGTTTTCATCATCTGTTTCTAACACAACTGCCACATAATGGTATTTTAGAAACTTTTTTCCTTTAATCTCTACAACTACGTGGTCGCCAACTTTTATTTGTCTTTCTTCAGGGTCGCTTCTAGTCTGAACTTCTGATTCTACGTCCTCAACTTCAGATTCTACGCTGTCAACTTCAGGTTCTGCATCCTGAACTTCAGATTCTATGGCCGGAACTTCATATTCTACGCTTGTTTTATTCTGGGCAATGGGGAGATCTGCCACTGAAACTGATGCTCCAGGTTCAACGTGCAACATTTTCTTTTTATTCCTTTGAACCCTTTCGCCGCGTTTATTTTGGGATTGCAAAAAGTCTAATAAGGAATTATCAATTTCTCGTGAAACTCTTTCTTTGTACCTTGCTGTGGGCATTTTCTTTAAAACTTCATCAGGACAAAGGGGGACAATTCCAGTCGCTCTAAATCCATTTTTTATATTCTTCTCCGACTTCAGTTCGATCGTCTTTATTAGCTTGGCCAAAAGACCTGGGAAAAACGATTTCTCCACACAGTTTGAGAGGGATATTTTAGTTTGACATCTTGCAAGATTGTCCGCCAAGCCTTTTTTAAGGGCCCAAAGAAACTGACATCCAAAGGCTGTGTTATGTGGGTCGAATTCGGAGGTAGAAAGACAAAACGGATGTTGTTCCTTTGACAGGCAAGCAACACATCAACATTAAGGTGAGAGGATAAATTATCCCCTATAACAACTTTGGGTCCTTTTAATCTTCTTGCCCAAGGAATCACAACTTTATTAAAATAATCAACAAATGTACCAGCGTCAAACCATCCACTTTTCGTTCTGTTATAAATTGTGTTAGGTGGACCTCCTTCTATCCAAGAACTGTACATTCGCTCGGCTTTGTACACTACATAACATGGCAAGAGTTCACCAGCTGCGGTTGCTGAGAACATAAGAGAAATGGCACTTTTAGTGGTGTTCATTCGTCGTTCGGGATATTTGGTTCCTCGGAAAAATATGCACTTCGTGGTTCCTAAAATATTAAGATTTAGATTAAAAAAACTTTAAGCTATAATAATGCTGACCTGGGTTATCGCTTAGGTTGGTCTCATCATAATTCAAAATATTTTGAGGAGGAACATCTTGCAGAGTCGTCTCTAAATTTTGAAAATAACTTTCAAACTCTTCTGAGGTTTTTTCAGCGCGGCATCTTTTAATATTCTGGCAGGTCCTTTTCGTTAGTTTGGTTTTGTTCCTCTTCAAGAACAAATATACCCAGTCTCTTCCTGGCAAATTTTCTTTAAAACAAGTCAGAGAGATCCCCTTTTGGTCCAGATAATTTCTAACCAGCATTCTTAGGTCTAGTTCTGTCATAGGACTCCCAAATTCTGCACTTGCTATTAGGACGTCCACTAAGCTTCTTTCTTCTGCTTGAGAAAGACTTGGTCGACCAACATCGCCGGTGTGTATATGTTTCATTTTATTCAACAACGTCCTTCTCGGGATGTTGTACAGGGTTTCAGCCCTCCGACTGCTCATCCCCTCTTTCATTGCTTGCAAGGCCCTTTCTAATGCACTAGCTTCGTAGTCCATATATTTTCGCGCCCCTAGCCGTCTTTTATACTTTCCCATTGCTGAAATAATTATGTCGATGCTATAAGTTACGATCATTGACGTATAATTGTTTGAAAATAAATCTTAGGTTTCATCACAAAATTGCGGATAACATTGCCCACTTTTATTTTTTCAAATTTATAAAAAAATAATTTTTTAAATATTAATCTGTGGATATATTGAAGTAATTAATGGTCATATAAAACTACTGTCAATAGCTCAAAACTACAACCCAAATACGTATCCCGCACCAAACCTTACAATTTACGTAAAAAATAAGACAAAAAAGAGTAATATTTACCTGCGAACTATGTGTCACCAAGCGCACTCGAGAAATGCATGTGAGCAGTTTTACACATGCTATCAACCTTGAACATGCATACCCCCACGCATTCACCATTGCCACAGTTGCCAAATGGATAATTTCGAATTTTTTAAATTGCCTAGCATGTGGGCAAAGTTTGGCTTAATGGGCAAAGTAAGGCGATTCTACGGTACTTAAAAATATCTTTCCTGATAACTAATACATATAACACCGTTAATAATATTACATGCTTCCTCATTTCACCGTATGACGCTCGGCCTGAAGATGACCTTATAGGTCGAAATCGATAGCCGCAATAGGACCTAATAAAAAACGTGTTTAAAAAAGATTTTCTTTGATTCCATTCTGCATCACACAACACGTTTAAAATAAAGAACGATGGAACAATACATCAACCGAAAAATTCAAAGGGCTGTAACTTTTGAACTAGTAGCCCAATCTTGGAACTGTTTGAAATTATGGATTCTACAGGCCACATTCTATAAGAAAATTTTGTTTCCGAGTCGATCTGAGACAATTTTTTTTCGGGCCTCCAAAAAAAGGCAGTGTATAACCTTCCTTTTTTCCAAAAATCGACAGCACCAAAATTTCTCGGGAAAACTCTTTTTCTTATTAATTTTGGTGCGTAGAATCCAAAACAATTCGTACTTTTTCCGATCAGACTTCTCAATCAAAAGTTATAGACTAGAAACCAATTTCGAAAGAAAATTCAAAGGTTTCAGTAGCATATGAATGAACCACTCTATCTTATTTTTGTCCAAATATCAAGTAGCGGTAGACACAAAAGAAACAATAAAGCCACTATATATTTGGACAAAAAGAACATTGAGCGTAGAACATTCATGCGCTACTACATTAAAATGTTAGTCTACTTTTTGATGGGGAAAGAAATGACACATTTTTAAGAAACACGATACTATCATAACATGAATATTTTTAGGATCCCAATAATGAAAAAATTATGGCATTCCATTAACAAAAAAGTTGAAAGTCACCGTTTTGAAATAATTCGTCCAATTGAAAATCTGATATCAACATTTGGTTCAGTGGTTCCCAAGTGGACTGGGACCCACCTCTAAGTTGTCTTACAGAAAAGAGGGTATAAATATTGGTACAATGCTCAGATAATATTTAGGTACTTATTTCACCTGTTATTCTTGTTTTGATTTACAACTTACTACTTATAATAAACAGATACTATGTTTTAATCATTTTCATGGATAACTAGATCAAAAATGATTGAAAAATCTTTATGTATTTTGATAATTTCGTCTTCTATTTCTACAACTAAGAAAGTTAGCAACATCAGTGGCGCTTTTAATTTGAAACAGACGTATATTATTTTTTTCACTACTAGTAGGTACTTGAAATCCTCGAAATTAGCAGATTAGAAAGTGGACGGTTTGACAGAATTTTTTGTTTATTAATGTTTATAAATTGCTTGGAAGTCGAGCAGGCAGTATTTTGTTTTGTCATTTTCATTTTTTCAATTTATTTCAAAATGCATTTTAAAGTAAAACTAAATGATGCATTTAGAATTTTGAAACAAGCAGGATTTAAAGAATGAGTTTTTCTTTAAAAAAATGGTGGATTATTTTTAATATTTGTAATTTTTGTTTATGTGGGTTACAATTTTTAAGGGAATATGAATAGTATAGTGATCATTACCTCCAACATACATAATAAATTTTAGTCAACTTGAGCGATAAAATAAGCTTTCACACAAAATACCACAATTATCTTTAGTTTTGTAAATTTGAAACATGTTTCTTTATAGTGCACTACATAATTTTGTGATCACAGTAAGAAAACTGTCCACAGTAATTTCTATAAAAAGATTCTTCCAGCCATTTGAACATTGAAAGAAAAGGATTATTTTAACAATCAAGTGAATTAACTTTCATCACATGGTTTATCTCAATTTATTATTGTAGTTGAAATTTTATTTTGTAGCAGAATCTATAGAGCAAATGAGCGGTGCAATAATTTAAGTAACGTCAAAAACGTGTAGGTATATCAATCCCATGACACCTTCGACTTCCTTTCTGATGTGATTTCCACTTTACTTGCGTTTGAAATGTTGTGAAGATTAATATTAAATAAGAAGCAATCACATTCCAAGAATGAAAACACTCGTCGTAGGCCCCCAATGACTTGCAGTATTTAATCATTTCGTAATAAATTTGACTTATCACAAATGTCATTACACGTTATCTACCTTTGCTGTTATTTATCTTCTTTATTTTTAAAATGAAACTTTAGCCTACTTATGTAAGATGCCCAATTTAAAGCATGCTAAAAATTAAAAAATTGCCTTCAATTTGTTCCTTTGGAATAGAATAAAATACAAATTCAATAATCAATAACAAAAATATCAATAAACAAGATAAGTAAATGGAGTGATAAGATTTCATATTAAAATCAGGTTATCCAAGGACAAACGAGAAGTACAGTCGGTAAAATGAGCAAGTTACAAAACGGATTAGCACTTATTATTACCACTGCGCCCGCAGTTAGCTTTGATGTTGGAAAACATTAAAAATGCCTGGTAACAGCATCGCAAAACAAGAAACACACCTTAACCGCAGGAGCAGGGTTATGTTCACTTTACCAATTGTAGATACCTTTAACTGTTTGCTCAAATAAATGAAACTAATTAACAACAAACAAATTTGTATTTTTTAAAAAGTTGACTACAAGAACAAAATGAAAATGTATTGAAGTAACTATTCTATTATCTATGTTTAGATATTGTAAAATAATATTTCCAAAATTTGATCTTCTACCTCTATAAGAATTTGTCTCTTAATTGTGTATTAACTTAAAAAATGCAAAGCGAAAACAAAAAAAACATGTACCAACAAATTCACAGAACAGAAGTTTTAAAATGGAATGTACAAATTAATTTATTAATCAATTTAGCTTTGCTGTTCCCTTCATACAACAGAAATGTCTACATTTGTTGTGTCAACTGCATGGACAATATTTCGACTTGCCGAACAGAGCAAATGGAAATATTCGTATCTACTTATACTATGAGCGAGCAGTTGGTGCGCACAATTAGAATTCGACACCTTCAGCTGCCAAAGCTAAAACTACAAAGAAAGGCTAGTACATGTGTGTTGTAGGATTACGGACACCAAACCATCAATACATATACATATAAGGTATTCATATTTACATTCATTTTTCTGTTAATGTTACAATCTGAATAATAATGGAAGGATATACTTTGCCGAGGATGTCCGTGCAAACTCGTAAAAAATAAAAATCTGGGTCTAGCGTATAAATATAAAAGGCCTAGAATGATATTTTCGACAGCGAATCTGTACAGACCCCTCTCAACAGATATGCAAAATAACACTAAATGGCCGTCGCCTTTATTATGAGCTTATTCAATACAGTTATCTTAACAGTTGAAAGAAAACATACTTTTTTAACAATGTAAGCAATGATATGAAACAATGGATGGAAATAACAATTAAAGAAATGGTAATATAAAATTATTGTGCTACATAGTTAATTCAATCGCATTTGCGATTATTATACATACTATCCTGAACTGAGAAACTAACGCTAAAGGTAAGAACTATACAAGAATGAATTATAGACTTTTTATGAAAGTGACCATCGATGACACGCATTTACAGGAATAGCTCTTGTGATTCACTGCGCAAGGTCTATCATACGTAATATCTACAATCAATACAATACTCCTCCAGCCAATTTCACGAAAGTTCGCAATTTTATACAATCATGTACAATAAAATATTAAAATTGAAACGCCCTTTAATGAAATCAACTGACTATACATTATACAGGTATCAACTTCGGGGGCACTGGAGGAGGAAGGGGGGTGAAAGGAGATGACTGGGGATATTTAGACTTTATAAGGAGATAAAAATAATTTATTTAGAGTAAAGATAAATAGCTACGATGAGACCGTAAAGACCTAAGACTTCAGCGAAAATAAGAATAAGAATCATGCCGACGAAAAGGCGAGGTTGCTGAGCTGTACCGCGTACGCCTGCATCTCCAACGATGCCGATCGCAAAGCCGGCGGCCAAACCGGAAAATCCTACGGCCAGACCCGATCCCAGATGTAGAAAACCTCTAAAATTGCAAATGCCCGCGTTAGAGCTACGTCGAGTTTATACATAAAACAAAAAAACGTTTACGTACGTGTATAGTGCATACTCCTTGGGCTCTTTAACGTTACCGGCGATAAGTACGGCTACGACCAATCCATAAATGGCGATAATACCCGCCATGACGACGGGAATAATAGATTTCATAATAAGTTCCGGCCGCATTACGGACATCGCTGCGATACCTGTCCCTGATTTTGCTGTACCATACGCTGCACCGAGTGCTGAAAACCATTTACAATGTTAAAATACAATAAACTAATAACAGATGCAAGTTGGTGTAGACTAACATGATTATCAAGATAACAATTAGTGATTGCGCGAATGCCATTTCTCCAATTAAACTACTGAAACCTCAAATGGATCAAATGATTCCAATGATTAAATGTATTTGACCAACGAATAAGAGCATGGGCGACATTGAGGACATCTTAAGCACAAAAGCATCACGACAACTACATTTCGAGAGTTCTTTTAATAGGTGCACTTATAGAAGACAAGTGTGAAATAAGTGTAAAATCTGCTGCATAAACACTTTAACTAGGAGACATAAAAAGAACTTTTGGTTCCATGCGGACTAAAATAGTAAAGAAATGAATATGATGGCTTTTAAGATAACCACAACATAAAGTAATCATACCATACTTTGTTGGTATGCCTCGAACTCGGGTCCACATAATTTTTGGGTTCACACTAGTGCATTATTTGGAAATACACTAAAACATAGAAAGCTTTGCTTCATGAACGTTTTCATAATTTTCCAGATTTAACGTGTAAGGGAACGCCTCTATGAAGTTAAAAACAACCTTCACTCACACATGCAAAGTCATGTTATATAGTCTGTCCAAGATAAGAATGAACAGCATGGGAAAATCGGAAACTATAAGAGACTCATACTGTACAGTAGCATTTTTTTATTATGAATACCAACGATGGCATGGCACAATATGATTCCATTTAAAGAAACCATCAATAAATTATTTTGGCAATTTGTCAACGCCTACTACATCAAAATGTTAAAAATTGTTTTATCATGTAAGTCAGAAAAAAGGGTTGTTATTAAATATTGTAGTAGTGGGCGTTGACGGAATGTCAAAATAATTCGTTGATGGTTCCTTTAAATGACATACCTAATAAAAGATCATACTCTGCCATAAATCATTGTATTGCTAATAAAAAATGCTACTCAATACAGTGTGTACTTTTTTTCCGGTCCAAACAAAAATATGAAGTTGAAGATGGTTTCCCAAAGACGAAACGTCGCAGTGAATGTTTGTTGCCACCATCTTGTAGAGTTTAAAAAGTGGCTGTACTTTGTTTTTTGATACCTTTTCAGGTCAGGAAAAATAAAAAATTATATGGTTGATTTAGTTTTTTCCAAATTTGATCGGAATAATTTTACCGAGCCCTAAAATACGCAACTTTTTTCTAATTTATGTATCTCGTATGGTTTTCGATTTCACCATACTGTTCATTATTTTCTTGCACACACTGTATAAATCTGTACAACTGTTAAATCGGTTACTAGTGGAAATTGTTTCGAGCTAAGTACACTTTTTGCACCATACATGGAGGCAGTTTATTTTGTCTGGAATACACAGACTTCATTTTAAAAGTAATAGATCTGTAAGTGCGACAGTAATGTAAATAATACATTTGATGGGAGACAGAAAAGAAGATGAGACAGCCGAGATGAATAACAACATGCAAAACTGAGACATTCCATTTGTGAGGGAAAAATTGCAAAAGAGGAGTGGGAAGAGAGGAAAATTGAAATCTTTGTTTCTAGACTTATAGGTATACTTGCAACAAGCATGGAGGGCAAACAATATTAAGAAAAGTTAGCTCTAGAATGGTGGTGGCAACACAACACACCAACTGAAAGCATGTATAACAGTAGAGAGATAACTAGCTTCAACGCCCCCCCCCCCCCAAATTTCCTCAACCTTCTTATCAAACATAGTATGCTGCTGAACATCCTCTTCCATTTTAAAAACAGTTTCATTGTCTTTCCCATTTTAAACAATCGTTTTTACTCTGGTAATCCTGCTAAAACTATTCATTTCCTATGCATCAGTTCCATTTCCAATAGATTCTTCTCTCGGTTCCCTTTCCATTATCTATAATTTCATCGTTCTCTGTATTAATTCTTGCAATCTCTCTGCTATGCTCTTCATAAACCTTCCTCCTTCGCTCTCATATTCAATTTTTCCCTGGTCTTACACGTAATTTTTCTTTATTCTATTTTTCTTAAAAGATTTAGTCATCGGCGATAAAAAAAAGGCGGATGTGACGCGTTCTTACCGGGAAATATGATGTGGTTTGTTCTAGAATATTCGAGAACTTTCGAGAAAGATGGGCGATTGCTATACTGAGTGTAGAAACGATTTACGCACCATATAAAAATTAAAAAATTAAAGAAATGCAATTTTCGTACGCTGTGGATGGACGAATTTTTGTTTCAATAATTTCACGTGATAAGTGATTTTTACTAAAATTTTTAAAATAATATAATAATAAATTTTACTAATTTATAATTCCCTTAATTTCTCCGATTTTGCCCAACAAAAAATTACAAATGGGCGCATGAAAAGGCTTACAATCTACAAAACTTTACTGTGAAATACTTAGGGGAGAAAATATTTCAATATAAAGAAATATGCATTGAAATCCCTATGGTGCGTAAACAAATTGTACAACCTGTATAGCAAATTATGCTTCAAGGAGTTTATCAATGCGAAGTGAAGTATTAAGCTCCTGCTCGTGTTATAAATTGAGTGATAAATAATAATTACTGTTAAATAATCCATTTCAAGATTGATATAAATTTATTGTTAATTAATTGTAAATAAATAAATCACGTAATTCAAGTTACTACTCACAATTAAATACAGGGTCGCTTATAAGTCTGGAAATGGTCGATTATACATTGGCAAAAATATACAAGATATCGAAATATGTTTACGAAAGTTTTGGAGTTCTTCAATGTGTGCTCATAAAGGCGCAGCACACCAAAATTGCATTGTTTTTTTAATGGAACACCCAGTATATTTTCTAATATTTCAATTCTTCTCTCAATTTTAAGCAAAATTTGTAATAAGCATAATGTGCCTAAATTCAATCGTTTCCGGATTATCGAGTTTTGAAAATAAACGCTATTATTTTTAAATTCATTAATAATTGAACAAAAAAACAATAATTAATGATTCCAAACAATCATAACAAACGGTTTCTTTTCAGAACCACAAAATCTTTTCAAAAGAAATTCGTATGTCATTAATTATTGTTCGTTATTCAATACATTTTAAAGCAATACCTTTTATTTTCAAAACTCGATAACTCGGAAACGACTGCATTTGGGTACAGTATACTTCTTACAAATTATGCTCAAAATTGAGAGAAAAATTGAAATATCGAATAATATACAGGATGTTCAATTTTTTTTAAATATACCATGTGCCATGCCTTTATAACCCACCCTACATAATTAAAATTACTACTGTTTAGTGGACATTAAAGAACCTTACATTTTTTGTATACAACTTTTTTTGATACCTTGTATATTTCCCCCAATACCGACAGTTTCCAGCGACCCCTATATTACGATTCTTGATTCTATAAATTTAAAATTAATCACAGTAACGTTTACAAAAAAGAATGTTACTTCCATCCATTATACATTCTCACTACTCCAATTATTATCAACTGGTATAATAACATATTCCTGTAAAGTTCTGGCCGATCCTCATAGCTTCAAATGGTGTCCCAAAGGTTATTACAGTATTTCACAATGTCTACTAGGCAGTAGTAATTTTAATTATACAGAGCTGGTCATAAAGGCGTGGCACACCAAAATTGAATTTTTTTAAATGAAACACCCTGTATATTATTCAAATCTTGAATTTGTTTTTAAAACAAACGCTAGTTGTAAAATTTATTGAATAAAGAACAATTATTACTGCCTAGTAGATATTGCAGAATACAAAGTCCGGTAAATGGAGGCAAAATTGCGTATTTTGAAACCGAATGTAACGTTGCTTAGAAATTGAAGGATTACGGTGACGTCACTTTCAAGAAATTTTTGCAAACAATTTTTTTAAATTTTATTTTATATTTTGAAAGTGCTCGTCATTTTGAAAAAACAACATTCACAATTGCACAGTCACTGTGTTTATCTCCGGGATCAAACCGTGTCAATGTGTGTGTCGTAAGGTGGCTATGAAACAGAACCATACATGACAAACGCGGGCTTGAAATATTCGGCTCATGTACAGGGTGGTTCAAATTTTGAAATTTTTCTTGTGAAATAAGAAAGTAGTAACCTGTAGCTTCTACATCTAGCGTGTTATGAAAATTCTGGTAACAGATTTAGATTCTCCGAAAAAAAGGCCTCATAGTAGGTGCCAACGAGAACCGTCCATTTCCAACCGTTTAAACTAGGGAATTGTTTTTAAAATTTTCAAATGCGTTTTTTTACTCACAGAAAAACATTGCCCCTATTTAACGTACACTGTCTTTCTCACCGTTACAAAGATTCTAATGATGAACCACGAATTTGCTCCATCCTGTACAGGGTGTTCCATTTGTGGACACTTGGAAAATCAAAAAATTGTCAATTTCAAAGGGACCTTACATTTCCTTAGTTCTTACTCTCTATAATGAATATAATGATTGTTCGAATAGTTTGCCGGTTTCAAAATAAGTATAGAGAGTGAGGTGAAAAAGTTATGGAACCTAACCTCATTTTTTTAATGGAATATCCTGTATATTTTTGTTAAAAAAGATAGTATCTATAACTTAATTTAAAAAAAACAATATTGTTTCAAAAAGTGTTTTTGATTTTTTTAATATAATCCCTGGTGTTATGTTTTAAAAAGAGTTTTATATGCTATCTTTTTAGATTAACATATACAGGGTGTCCATGAGGTTAGGTCCATCAAGTTTCCTGTCCTCGTATACTTATTTTGAAAACGGAAGATTATTGAACAAGTACTATACAGAAATTTTCGTAGTAAACATTGAGTCATTCCGAAATTGCCAATTTTTTTATTTTTGTAAATTAACAAAACATGTAGTTTTTGACAAAACTTTTGTTTTCCTTTGCTACTTTTACCGTATTTGCAAATTGAAAAAAAATACGCTTTTGTCCATCTATCAACTGCGACATAGGTCATATAGGAGACAGGCTGAAAGTGTATGTCAGGAGGTTTACCTCATAGGATACATAACTCCCTCACAGGACCAAAAGAGGAAAACAAGTAGTTAACTATTACCTCAGTTTTCAGAATACTGACTAACACACTGATATGATGCTCAAAAAGAGAATTTGAATCAATTTTTGTTGATCATGGGTACTTTTGACCAGGAGGTGACAAAATTATACTCATGTGATGATTTTGTTCAGAAAAAATGATGTGATCCCAAACTGATGTCGGGGACGTCAATTTTAGACATTTCTAATGGCTAAAATTGATATTTTTGCACTGATTTTGTTGGAAAAATGCTTGACATTGAAGAGGAACTAGCAGGTTTTGGAAAAAAAGAGCTAGTCAGTGTTTCGTTGATATGCAGTAGGCAATACCCGAGGCAATTCCATTCCAGAATATGCACATATTTCCCCCATTGATTTAACTCTAACCAACGTTACACCGATGTAGCAGAAAGGGTTTCAGAGATCTTAATGCTGTGCACAACAAATAATACACCCTGTATAAAAACAGTATTTAATCTGTTAAAATTTCATCTGTACAAGTAATGATCCCTGTGATTTCTAGCAAAATTCACTAAAATCTTCAGAGAAACACATCTTACATTCTTCCTCTGGCGATTCTGGTAAATTTTTTCTCTATTTTACTATCTTGCCTTATTTTAGTTGATCGTCTGCATCCTCACTTTGTTTAGTACACTGAAAATTCAACTCTCCTACCATTTCAATCACTTCTGGTTCTTCTTTTTGAAGAGTAGAACTGAAAATGACTACCAACCGGTAAAAAAAAAATCCTAATGACCGTTTGCCTCGCCGTTTGCCCACTAACATTTAAGGTGCAATTGTATGGTACAAACAACCATAAATAAACTAAACCGATTGTAACTAAAATCTCATTGCATGTCTGGTGTCCAGAAAACAAACTCGCTAGTATGCAGTCGAGTACTGGTATATACAACATGGACGACTAAAGTGGCAGAGCCAAGTAACTTGTATGAAACATTGACAGTAGGTCCAAAGACACAGTTACTGAAAGGATTAGTCCCCGAATACCTCAACTGTATCACGGTAACTGATATACTAATGCCTCTGTGATAGAAGCATAAAGTATTATGGCACTTGGACCAAATTACTACCTACCTTATCGGAAATTGAATAAAAAATTGAAATTGGAAGTTTGCTCCAAAAATATTTTGCTTAACTGAAACGGTTAACAGTATTTAATCAAAGATGTGCTTTATAATACAATTACAGAGTAGAGGCTCATAAGTCGAGTGTTGTGGAAAGTAACTTTGATCAACATAATTAATGATCACAGTTTTATTTCTTTACCCATGCTCGGGTACCTATCGTAAATATGTAAGTTTCCTTGGCAACCGGTCACATTATTCAGGTAACAAATTCCCATAGTAAAATTTCACAAATTGACTCTGTGATGAAATTGGTTATGGCAATGGTATTCACACTTTTGCATCACTAATTAATGTGACATTGGAAATATGTAATATGAAGGTTGGTGCGTTACACAATTAATCTTCACGGAATTTGTACTTACATAACCTAAAAAAGGTTGTGAAGAGTATTTGGCTTCGCTTATACATTAATTATGAGTCGAGGATGGTGCTAAAGTTGAAAGTTGCCCAATGCAAATAATGATAACGCCTAAAGTTAACAGAACCTACTCAGGTAAGGAGTCACATGATTTCAGCTCTTATCTTAATGAAGTGCAAATGTGTGAGTAAGGTACTCAATCTCTTTCGATCAATTAATGCTGATAATTGGTGATATCGATAGCAGCCTCATGATTTTCGATGAAGAGAACCTCCTAGTCACATGATTTGAATATAATGTAGAATTACCTACGATCAGCTTCGACAACCCAATGTAAAATTCATGTAATCGCCAAAATTACGCCCCAATAATTTTTTTCTATTGCAGTACTTTATTTGTAATTAAGTGAGCTACGTTATCAATGCAAAACAATTGAATAACTGATAAAAGTTTTAGTATAACCGGGGCGGGTCTATGAAAAGCATGTGACTTAACCACTTTTTTAAGTGGGTCATAAAAGAAAAAACCACCACTCAATTTTCATGGGATTTCGCAAAATTCCAGGTAAAATACTTGTGGAATTAGCCTGCTTTGGGTTTAAAGTTAAGAAAAATATGTGTGGCGAAGTTGGCATAAACTCTGACCATGTTACGCCCATGAACGCCAACCATAATAAATTGGTAAAAAACCACACGAAATCAATGTAAAATATACATTTCGTGTAGATATTTGGAATGATATTCATAGCTTAACGAAGAGAAGTGTGAATACCAATTCAAGTCATCTGACTAATCGATAGTCGTAAGCAGCGGCTACCTACAATATACTACTTACCACTGAAAATAATAGCCGCGGCAGCACCCATAACACCAAAGAATGGACCGTAGACGGGGTTTTCTTCTGATAAAGCCATTGTTAATAAGTTTGTGGAGTATTTACAGGTCCAAAGCTGGTAGAAGCAACACAACACTCCACTACGCGATGAACAAACTGACAATATGGCTTACGCTTACTACAGAGAACCCAGACGGTGACCGTCATATGACATAAAGGATAGAATGGAAGGAGGGAGGGAGACTATGGCGCCGTCTCATTGGCGGATATATTGGTGCGAAATTTAAATTTACCACTACCCAAACAGTATTGGTAGTGCAGAATGACGTTTGAATTGATTCCAAGATGACAAAGAATTTTTAATTTCGATAAATTCAATTCCGATTAACATCGTATGCAATTTCTTATCGCCGCTAGTCGATTAGCGAAATTTGAAAACCGTAGACCATGTAGAAACAAATGCTACGTTGAATCACATGATTGTAAATGGAGTACTTCCTGTCAAAGATTAACGTAGTTACTAGGCGCCCATTCGAAATCAAATCGAATTTCCATGTCACGTGCTAACTCGGAAATCATGAGACGGTTTTCTTTACATTTATCTAGCTAGGCAGACAGCTCATCCTGTTATACATACATAAAAAGAAATATTTCAATTCATTTATTGTAAATAAAAAAAACACTAACAATGTAAGAAAGGGAAAGTCATAATTACATAATATTCAATTATTGGTAATCCGCAAGGACGTATAGTGAAGGAAATTATTGGTTGTGTACTAATTATACCTATTTGTAGGTACATACGCAAAATTTTCACATCACTATGGATAACCACAACTGTCATTCACTGTAGCGTGAATATCTTAACATATAAAATGGCACCATCCGTTTTCAATAAAAAAAATCAGTTCCAATAAAATCAAAGCTTTCAAGTCACACTCAATAAACCCAGGTGCTGTAGACACAACTTTGCCGCATCTGCTTTAGCTTGCTTCTTATTTGGACTGGCCGTTTCCGGTTTATACTCCACGCCGTTAACGATCACCTAAAAATTGAAACATACAGCAACAGTACCTAATCTTGTAATAATAATAACAATTTTTTTCCATTACAAAATTATACAGTTCATCCAATTATAGAGATTGCCGGGTAAAGGAATAACGTTTTGCTGTGGTGGACAATTTACAAGTAATCACCACCTGACAAATGAAACTCTTGTTGCAAGTGTATTAAATCAAACTCAAATTCAAAAGAAATCTTCAATGCTGATCACCCAAACTAGCAGTTCAAGTTTACTTGCTATTTTTTGAGCTCTACAAGACACTGTTGAGAAATTTTCAATGTTTCTTTTCGGAGAAATTGTCATCAACTTTATTTTGTTATATGGTCCGTAAAACAGTACACACTGTTTACAAATACAACGATATACGGCAACAAAAGTTGGAAACTGTTGGTTTCAACAGGAGGGTGCTCCCAAGCACAACGCCCTAATCGGATAAACTTTCTATTTTCCAGGAAATGTGCCCGATGGCTATTGTCATACGATTAGCATGTTGGGCGCAGGTGCTCCATCCTGTTGAAATCTACAGAGTTAAGTATCCAAGTTTTCTTTCCTTTAGTGCCATACATCATTGTATTCGTAATAAAAAAATGCTACTCACTTTTTTTACAGGAATATAACGGATGTACGCTACAAAACTAAAATGCATTAAGCGGGTCACTCTGTAATTGGGCGCAAGCCTGTGGAGGACCCAGAACAAGAGAGGGAATAAATAAACATTTTCTCTAATTTGACCATCGCCCATGCTAGATCATCCTTATATTGGACACAGATATTTTTGTAATTTGCCGTAAATCTTTTAATTACAGCATTTGTCAAATTTCATATGACTCCTCGAGATCGTTTATAATTTGGTGTTGCTACTGTCAGTTAGTGTGCACAATAACTTTGTCTAGAAGATCCAATTGCATCAAAAATTGGTACACGTTCTTAAGGATATAAGAAAGGTCGCCATTGTTTTTCAGCTATGTAGACTTCGGTACCTATTCACTTGTATCAGATTTTTAGTGCATTTCCACAAAAATATAAAAAAATGCGCTATTGCGGCCACTTTGTCCGTCCGTTCGTCCGTCTGGACGCCACTAGTTCTTTATCTTAAGAGCTATATTTTTCTACTTTTTTCGCTATTTGGTTCGTTATGGTGTCGAGGCTAGCACCAAGGAAAGCATTTTTTCTGTGCCGCTTAAGAAAAAAGTTATAGCAAAAGATCTATTTTTTTCATGTACCATAATTCTACACTTTTGTCGTTTATTGACGATCCTCGAGATCGTTTATTATGTTGTATCGCCGTCGGCCTGTCTGTCTGTCCGAGTGCAGTTGTTCATGATAACTTGTATTTGCGCAATCCAATTTTCCTCAAATAAAGGTAAAACTATTGCCGAATCAAAAAATTTCTTTTGCGCATGCGCAATCCGTTCCGACTAAAAATACGCAAAACAATTATTGCGCATGCCCAGATCCACATTCGTTATTTGTAAACTAATTCTTCTAAAATGTTAAGGTTGGTTCATAGCTGTCCGTTCATCCGTTGCGTTGATCCGTCAAACGGATAGAAAATTTTGTTAAGGTTCATAGCAATCCATCCACATTGTACATATGCAAGTATAATCATAAGTCATAACCTAAACTTTATTTTGTACTGTACCGTCAATGATTTTCAGTATGTAAAAATGGTACGAAAGTAAGAACACATTGCTATCTGGCATATTACCGTGAAGAACGAGTAGGCGAACGCTGTTAACGTACCAAACATAACCTCACTCTTGTTAAAAACGGACCAACGGAAACGTAAATGTTCAACTTCAACCAACTTTTCCGTCGTAAACGGACGACGTACGATTTAAAAATTTGCTGTCTTCTGATTGGCTAACGGACAAACGGAAACGTATGAACGGAGAGCTATGAACTTACCTTTAGGATTCTTCTTATAAACTGAAACTGAAGTAGCACGTTAAAAATGGATTGCACATATGCAACGCTATGTTTCGTATTTGTGGCGGGATTTTTACGATTTTAACAGAACTTGCATCTTACAAATGGGAAATGAATGCAAGTGGAAATGTGTAATATAAGGTAAACGTGACAACGTTGCACGGGTCTCGTACACCGGAACCGGAAAGACAGTCACGACGACAGAAGTCACGTGGATGTACGCGACAAGAGGTAGGTGCAAATTAATCAGTATATAACATGGTGACAGCGGTGGGATTAAACGGAAATTGCCGCCCTGTTAGCGATTCGTGTAGAGAAGAAGAAGTGATTTAGATGTTAGTGCTGTGAAGTGCATAATCTCGCGGTTCGGCGATATATACCGACCGTTGTAGTTGTCAAATTGAGTAAGTGTCAACCGTTCAAAAAAAAAAAAAGGAAAACCCCCCTAACTTTATAATGGATGAGGGCCCTGAATTGGATTACAAAACTCAATTGCTTGAGCAGCAAAGACTAATCACGCAATTATTGCAATTGCAATTACGGAACAATAACGCGAGTGACGCGACCGCCAATATATCGCAACATTCGTCATTATCGGTGCCGGTACCGCCGCCATCTGAATTTACGTTTCAAGCTGAAGATTGGAGCGAATGGAAAACGCGAATTTTACGATTCAAACGTATTGCATTGGCGAACTATAGTAGTGAACAGCAAGTGGACTACCTTGTGGGATATGTGGGTGGTAAAGCTGAGAACATTTTGAAATCTTTTCATTTGAGCAACGAGGAACTCAAAGATTTTGAAATTGTCTTTAGCAAATTCGACAATTATTTCGTGTTAAAGAAAAACTTAGTGTACGAACGTGTACGGTTTTTACAACGCGCGCAGAATAACAAAGAATCATGTGATATTTTCATCACAGATTTGACCAATTTAGCACAAACCTGTGAATGGGGTACAATGGAAGCTGAGATGATAAAGCTTCGCATAATTGCTGGACTAGCTGATAACCGACTGTCAGTTCAATTACAAGCCAAGCCGGACGATTCTTTGGAAGAAATCATCAGGAAAATAAGGTTAGCCGAATCATTGAAAAAACAACAGACCGTCATACGAGCAAGTGGCCCAAACCCCGAGACTAGTACATCCGAGCAAATTGATGCAGAGGTAAACTACGTCCACAGGGGTACTAAACCGAAAAATACTCAGCAGAAATACAACAGTAATGCTACAAGAAACTTAGGTAGTGGGAAAACGTTTCAGAAAAACAGAGACAACCCACAACCACAAGAGGAGAAGGAGTGCCGAAAATGTGGATTAAGCCCCCGGCACGCATTTACAGATTGCCCTGCGAGAAACGACTTCTGCAGATCATGTAACAGGAATGGCCATTGGGCAGCAAAATGTCCGTCCCGCAATATGCAGCATCAAACCAACTCAAAAAGTAGATACGAAGCTAAAAAGGTTGCCGCAGTAGAGAACAACTTTTTGTAAATCGTTTACGATTACTTTAACTTAGAATTGGGATCACACCATTACACTTATAATAATCAACGTGGGGGTAATTTCCTTTTAAGAGTTTAAGTTAAGTGTGTTTTAAAGCATACCGATGGGCGATGTTGCACCTTATTATTAGCCATGAGGCAAGCCAATTCCACCACTGGAGTAATATTAACCTGGTGTAGTCTCAAGATATTCCATCATATTTCACTTCTATTCCTATATATTTCGACATATTCTCATCGACCCCCTCTCCCTTTGTCCTTTTATTACAAATTTGACAAAAATATCACTGTGACGACGATGGTCAAATTGAGAAAAGATGCGCAATAAATGAGTTATCATGCTTTAAAGAAAACCAGACATTCAGATTACTTCCTAAGATATGCCAGAAAAACCGAAATGTGTCAATTTCGTTTTTATTTATTTTTTTCTGATGCTATTTGGACAGATACAACAAAATAAAAAAAAGTCCCCGTGTGAGATCGAAGGGACTTCAGCGTATTTTTGTGCGACAGATCAGTGTTTTTTTTAGCCAGTATTGTCTTCACCATCAATAAAAGACCTTGTCAAAGGCTACCACATTCACTTTGTCGGTACCCGCTTCCCACCTCCCGTGCACCCGCAATTCGCGTTTGAAGTTTTGACTCCACCATCAGTAAAATTTTGTTGGTGGCTACCATATTCCCTGAAAAAAATCTCCAGGTTAGCATAACACGCTCGGGGATGGCGCCGACCCCACATCTTGTAGTGCCGTCCCTAAAGTTGTTAATTATACAACCGCGATAGGTAGCTGTATACTCCTCGTCTTTTTACAAGCGTTCTTGTACGGGCAACGCATTTACTGCCAGCCAGCCAACCAGTCAGCCAAAGTGAGATTAACAGCTACCTTATTACAAATAAATTTGCAAAAGAGAGATTTTCAATACAATGTTTCATTTCGGAGAAATCATCATCAACTATATTTTTTCATGGCCCATAATAAAACTACATACTGTATTGAGTGGCATTTTTTATTACGAATACAAGGATATATGTACGACACAAAAAAACAAAAGTTTGAAGCTGTTGATTTTAACAGGATGGTGCACCAACACACAACATGTGAGAATACCTAGCAGGTAAATTTCTGTTTTATTTTTATTTTTATGTTGCCTTTATTTTTGAGTGGGCGGGGTTTCAGCCAAGGCTGCTCTACCAACCCACCCCACTATACATTTACAAATATCCATGCCCAAATCCGGATTCGAACCTGGGATCCTTAGCACTACAGTCCAGCGTTAACTGGACTGCGCCACACGGGCCTATAAAATAGAATTCTCGCATGGTTAGCGCGTTGTGCACTGCTACACCATCCTGCTAAAACCAACTTTAGTTTTTTATGTGCCGTGAATCGTTTGTAATTAAAAAGGCTACTAGATTCAATATGTACTTTTTTTACAAGCCATATACAGGGTGTTCATTTGAAAACTTCCCACCACGAATTTATCGAAAACCACTGATTGAAGGAAAAAACGCAGAGACTTTCCTCCTTTCATCCTCTGCCCCCCAGGGTCACTCCCTTAAAAGTTTTAAATAACAAGGGGTATCGAGTAATAGCTTGTTTGAAAGGTCTTTCGAAGTCCATTATTTTGACGTTTGATTTTTAAAAATCGGTCGATTCGTTTTCGAGAAAATTAGAAAAATCTTCTTTAATTTATTTAATCGACCTATCTTCATTTTTTCAGATAGAAAACAAAAACAAAACGAAAATATCATTTATTTGTTGCTATGAGAAAGAAAGAATTTAATTTGCTGTCAGTTACCTTTGTGACAATCTTGGGATAGTGAAAATTAATTTATTGATTCAGATTTCCAAAAAATATAATACTTTTTGATAGAATTTGATTTGTTTTACAGCAGACATTCCATGGCATGACGGATATTGGCTTGTTTTTGTATTATAAAATTCCATGGCATCACAGATTATTGAAAAACATGGGGGTTTTATTTTTCCCATTTTCCGTCTTTATTATGCAAAAAATTGAAAACTAATACGGTTGATCGACGTAAAAAAACTTTTTCTACAAAAAACCTTAATAAATTTTTGCTCTAAAATAATTTGGGGAGCCAACAATCGCATGTTATGAATTTTACATTGAAATCCCTATGATGCGCTACGCAAGTCACCACCCTGTATAGCAAGAGGTGATTCTAAGAGAGTAGTTTGGTACCTCATTCTTCAATCTTTGCAAAGTGCAACAGTTTTTCAATCAATTTTATTTGCAAAAATTGATTAAAAAACCAATACAAACCTTAAATAGAAAGAGTTTTTTATGATCGGGACCACTTTCCATACAAATTTGATACTGAGGTGCTCCCAATTTTCGTTTTGCCGTATACTCGCCAAGCAGCGATACAGGATGTTTTCCTTCTAAAGTCTTTACAGTAGCCTTCGCCAATTTCTGCTGTTTCTTTTTCTGCTCTTCATTCGCCAAAAGCCCCTTTTTATCCAACTTGACTTCGAGCAACAAAGGCTCCAGAGTTCCGGTCTTTTCCTTTCCCAAACCTTCGCCGGGATTCCATCCCATTTTCTTTAACAGATGCATCCCCATGCCTCCAGAGACAGGAGCTGCGTTTTGAAGCTGATCCTAATTAACAGAAATTAGCGTTAATCGCTCAGCTCCCATTTGAATTTGGTTATATTGAAATTTGCCTTACAGAAATACACTTCCGAGTAGAGTAGGTGTCCGACATTTTAAAATTCTGACTTATTTTCTGACGGCCGTCAGAACACAGAGGATCGTCGAGTACTTACCATGGGCCATCATGCGGTCCGCTCCGAATTCCTATCTTCAGAACCTGATATTTGGATGAGCTAAATGTCTGAAACAAATTCTCAGGTGTTTGATTTTGTAAAGTAGAAATCAAAATCGATTTCTAATTTACAAACTGAAGACTTATAAATTGGAAATTTAAAATGCAGCCACAGATTCCACCTCTAAAGAAAGAGATGGTCCGTGGCTGCAAAATATTAAACCTACCTGAAAATTTGTTAGACAAACAGATATGCAAATGATTTGTTTATCAGATGCACAACAATTTCAAAAATTGGTGTTAAATACCTTTTTCGCCCATGCTTGATATCCGGAGCACAGTTCGGCTTGAGTTAAAATGTTAGCGCCTGTTGAACCAGTAAATTGACCTGGCTGTTGTTTGCTTTCCGCCCATGTTTGCATCTACAATTCGTGGTGAGTACAGTTTTGATTTTGTGTTTAACCTACTTCTCTTTGGGACTTGTGCATTTCATTTAATGCCTCCATGTCATAAGGGTTTTCTTGCAATTTACGCATTGCTGTTAATCGCTGAGAAACTATTGCTCCAATGTCAACCGAGGGCTGCAATACAGAGAATTTACAAGTGCAGTATTTCAATGTGGTAACCTTACATCTGGAGGTTCTGGTAGGGTATGCACTTTTGGAGGCGGTAATGGTGGTAGTGGCACCTCGATCGGTTCCTGTACTGGTGCGATTGGAGGAGGTGCAGGCGCAGGCGTGGGTATAACCCGTGGAGTTTCTACCTTTTTCGATGACACTGGAATCCATTCACTTTCAGTCTTCCTGTGATGAGTCCCACTGCTTACTGGAAATTGGATTCGTAACTCTGTCGATCTCTCTTGGGCTGATTTTATAGGAAGTGGTGTAGAATTCTGAAATAAATTGTTCCGTGATAATAATTTGTTCCTCAAGGTTCTGTCTTAGGGCCCCTTCTATATATAATTTACACATTTGATATCATAAACTCCATCAAATATTGTACATATCATTTATATGCAGATGACACCCAATTATTACATGAATTCTTACCACATGAAACTCAAAATGCTGTATCTAATATTAATGAAGATGTGCAGGACTTGGTGAAAAATGAAAATATCAGAAAGACATGGGCTGAAAATTAATGCACAAAAATGTTACGTGATGTTATTTGGTAGAGCAAAAATTTGCAAACTTATAATTCCTGAAATAAAAATAAAGATTAAAGATACGCCCCTACCGCTTGTCGATAACGCAAAAAACCTGGGATTAATATTGGACACTGATTTAAGATTTAAGAAGCATGTCTCGGAACTTCTTCGCAAAGCCTACTTAAATTTAAAAACTCTGTATAACAATAGACTAATATTAAATCGCAGTTTGAAAATGCCACAGTGAGTATGACATTAGTACTATCACAATTTAGTTATTGTGATAATATATACGGCCCATGTTTGGATGCGGTAGACAGTGGAAGAATCCAGCGTATGCAGAATTCTTGCCTACAACTTATATTTGGAATAAGAAAATTTCACCGAATATCACACAAACTAAATGACATTAAATGGTTAAATATGTCTAATTTGAGAAATTATCATACAGCTTGTTTTATCCATAGAATCATTTGTAACAAAACTCCTGGGTATCTCCATGATAGAATCAAATTTAGAACTAATATTCATAATTTAAATACAAGAAGTAGAATGTTCATCTAAATCCCAATTTATAAAACAACTTTATTTAAAAGATCTTTTAGCTATTACGTCCCGAAGATATATAACTCACTCTCATCTCATATAAAATCCTCTACAATGAAAAATTTTAAAAAATATATGCGGAAGTCACTGCTAGAAAAACAACATAGGTCTCTCTAAGCTCTTTTCTTTTTTTAGTTTTAATTTCATACACATAAGTGATATCGATCATTGGCTGACTAGGAACTTCGTTTAAATAAGCAAGGATTAAGTGAAAGAACAGATGGTAGAGTTTTCAACTACCAATCTGAACTTTCGCCCTTTTGAACTTAACGGTGAGCATTTCCTGTCCTTTTTTTTACTGTACCTGCTTTTCTATTCACTGTTTTTTTCAATAAACGGATATTATTATTATAATAATAATAATAATAATAATGCATTTATTTTCACGTCATAACAACTTAGAAACAAAGACTGAGAGTGTAATAAGGAGACAAATGCATATACCTAAGCTGTATGGTGAAAATCACAGGGGAAATTGGTTCAGTCGTTGCAAATAAATGCAAGTTCTGATCTACCCCCAATTCCCTGAAAAAAATAAGTTAAAGATTGTTCATCGTGCAAAACTGAACTTGTAAACATTTTGCCTATTAACTTAAATTATGGTGTCAGATGATAATTGGATGAAGGATGTCGGTGCAGCGATGTAAAGATTAATTAGTTATATAACAGGTGGTTATAGTGGAAAGTGTACCTACATATTCTGGGTGAACCCAGACGTGGTAATGTTTGTACGTTTTAATTATTTAAACTGACTGTCTAGCAGATTCTGGCGCATTCTTTTCTTGAAGGTACACAGTGGTAGTGATTTCAGTGGTTCCGAAATAGAGGAATAAATTTTATAAAAGTCATACCTACGTAAAGGATCGTCTAAACAAACTTGTACGATGTATCGGTGGCGTTATTCTCCCTCTAAATCGAATATTAAGATTATGAACGTCAGATCTGAACGTTATTTTATTATACAAGTATGGCGGGGATTTGTCTAGCATTATTTTGTGGTACAAGCATGCCGCATTTAAGAGTCTTCTGTTTGCCATATTTATTTTTATTTATATTTATTATTATTAGAATTTGTTTAAACCCCTTGCCGCTCACATCTCAAGGTAGGTATTCACGTCACACAGTTGAAATATCTTTGCACACTTAATACAGGAGCTGAGAATTATCGAATCTAAATGCAATGCAGATGTAAAATTCAAATTTGAAAAATTGAAAAAAAAGAATTATGGGCGGGGTTATTTATAACGGGCGATCAAAAATGAGTTGATATCGAGGCGCCTTTGGAAATTCAAGTTAAGTACAATTTACCATGTAAAGAAAAATTCCAAAGGTGACTCGACAGCAACTCATTTTTGATCGCATGGTACTTAACCATATCTTCATCTAAACTTGAACTATACGTCTCGTAAAGGTCGTTAAAATTTGGAGAGCTTGGTTATTTAAATGTTAAAGACATTTTTTGAAACCTGAACTAGATTATGCTGCTATATTTGAATCGTTGAAATTTTCAATTTTGAAAATCTGGACTTTTACTAATCCTCAAATCTTATTGAACTGCAGTTCAAAAACTCAAATCTGAACATCTTATTTTTGAGAAAAATAGAATTTATATGAAAACTTTTTTCATGTTTGAACTTCCAAAGTCTTATGAGTTCTCTAATTTCTCACATATAATGACATTTAAATTGGAAAATTGAAATATTAAGGTCTTCCAAAAAATTTGGAAATTAGGATACCATTTGAATGATAGGATGTCAGGGTCACCCTTTATTTGCTATTATTGGATACCAATTTTCCACAGTTTAAATCTTCAGAATAAAAATCTGTAATATACACTATGTTGATGTCTATGATAGGGATCACGGAAACTATATAGAAGATACGACATTGGTCAAATTAGAGAAAAGTTGCGCAATTAAACAGTATAAACATTCTTTAAAGAAAACCAGAAAATTCCGATTACTTCCGCAGATATGCCAGAAAAACCGAAATTTGCCGATTTTGTTTCTAATTTTTTCTGATGTTATTTGAAGAGATACAAAAAAATTAAACACACTATCTCATTGCCACTTATTGGGCTCTACAAGACAAGAAAAAAAGTACATACTGTATTCAATGACATTGAAAAGTGAAAACTTTTTTGGTTTCAACAGGGTGGTGCACGCGCGCACAACGCCCTAATAATGTGGGAATCTATTGGAGAAAATGGAAAAATGTGTCCGATATGTATTCTCGCACGATTATGGCGTCGTGCGCCGAATGTTGTGCACCATGCTGTTGAAACCAACAGAATTTTCAATTTTTGTTCTTTTTTTGTAGCGTACATCCGTTATATTCCTGTAAAAAAAGTACATACTGTATTGAGTAGCACTTTTTTAATACGAATATAATGATGTACGGCACTAAAAGAAACAAAACTTGGCAACTCAACTCAACTTTCAACAGAATGGAGCACCTGCGCACAACATGCTAATCGTGTGACAATAGCTATCGGGCACATTTCCTGGAAAATGGAAAATTTGTCCGATTAGGGCGTTGTGCTCCATTCTGTTGAAACCAACAGTTTTCAACTTTAGACATTTTGTAAGCTGCCAGACCAATTGTAGGGGCCAAACATCCCCTAAGCCATAGAGTAATATTATTTACTCTATGCCTAAGCGTATTTAAAATGCCACAGTGAGTAAGAGCGCGCTCATGGCAATCAAGTGCCTTTTTAATACAGCTTCATTAAATTTATCTTGTAAATAGTCTAACGGAAACTTTCACTAATCATTACATAATTTCTAATGATCTAATTATCAACACTATTGCCGAATAATCCTAATTATACATTAAAAAATAATGAAATCCAAATAACAATAGTGCTACAGACTCCAGCAAACACTAAACTGAACTAAAAAATCTGATACATCAGAATACCGAAAGATCCTCGAGATCTTTACGCATCCATCATTTTTTCAACACAGTGTTGATTCTGTCCCAACACATAAGAATAGCTGGGTTGCTCATGCGTTTTTAATTCAACCAAGCAGCATTAGTTTTACTCGAGATGCCTACATACAAAATTTCATTTAAATATCGTCACAAATAAAAGATTGGATTGAGCAAATACAAAAGTTGAGTTGCGCATGCGCACATTTCTTCAAAATTCATCTGCATAGTTGCTTGAGGTTTAAGGAATATTTAATAACACACACACATATAGTTATCTCGCTCACACTCAAGTGTATATATAATGGTCTTTCGCTCTCACTCACGGCGGCACTTTAAATATGCTTAGGCGATGTTTGATCCCTACGGCTTGTCTGGCACAAGATATAAAAGTAGCCCTCTAAATATCATAGGTCAATATCAAGTCTCAGAACGATCTCAGCTCGGATCTCAGACTGTAAGTAAGGTTGTGTTTTGTGCTTTCGATATTTCTATTGTCTAGCAATAGCTGACCTCGCTCCTGACAGAAGGTGTGTGGCAGTATTAATTTCTAATTGTTTACAATACTTTATTATTTTCTACAACATTCATAAGAATCAGTCCCCAGACTGTAAGTAAAGCGAAAGTAAAGTGGGTACCTGTACATATTTGGTCCTTCAGAAAATAAGTAAGGTCTGGGGGCCCTGGGATCTTGCTTTAATAGGGAGGATATAGGGATATTAAAAAAATACAAGTGAATTAACAAATTTTAAATGATTAAAAAAAAATTTTTTTTTAAATCTTGAATCTTTTTGAACCAATATTGAATTGTTTTAAACTCCATTCCACCTGACCGCGTAAACTTATTTTGAAAACGGCAGATTTATAAATCTTTTTTTAATAGTATTTTATCGTATTTTTTAAACGAGTAATATACCCTATTTTTAGATTATTAATTAAAACAGAGTGTTCCATTTCAAAACATAAGGTTAGGTCCGATAACCTAACCCTGTATACTTACTTCGAGACTTACTTTTGAAATTGCAGATCATTACCTATAAAGAAACTTTTGTACTAAACATTTTTCTGTAATACGTATATCCTCGAATATATCTTTTAACTAAAAACATAAGGGTCATTATGAAATTGACAATTTTTTTGATTTCCCCTGTATGTCTTAAGGAAAAGAATACCTCCTCGCAATGGCAAATTTTTTGTAATTTAAAATTTGAACTTCTCTTGTGAAGACGTGTAAACTGCGTACAAAAATTCAGATTAAATAATAATAATATTGCCTTTAAGTAACGGGAAAGAAAAAAAAATGAACAAATTAACTGTAATGTTTACAGGACAAAGTTGAGTTCGACAAAAGTAATAATTTGACGTGCTTTACCACTTAACCCTAACTATAGAATATGATTTCAGTACAATTGTGAGTCATTTTTTTGACTGTGTGCAGGCTGCAAGATTTTCCTGGAAATTAAAATGACCAAGTATTGCGGAAAGTGGACACCCCTTTGTATAATTCAATTGTACAGGGTGGCCAAATAAGAATGGAATCTGGAAACCTGTCCATTGTAGAGGCTTGCGCAGTGCTCGAATTGGAATCAATCACGAAGCGGAACAACGCTATTCCGAATAAATGGGGTTTTTTTCGCGTAGAGGGGGGGGGGGCATGTATTGGATCCTTTATCCTTATGAAATTGGGAATATATAACAAAATCTATTTTTCAAGGATTTATTTTTCTGCCCCCACTCCAATGAATGATACACGTTTATTGTCTATTTACGACAATTTATGTAAATGCAAAATCTGAACTTGTATATTGTATAGTACGATTGGATAATTAGTAAAACATTTGCAATTTTTTTAATAGTAACAGCATTCGGAATGTTTGCCGTTCGCTTTCTAATTTACGAACCGGCACAATCTTTACGAAAATATTATGAAACGGAACGATGTGTTAAAATAATATCATGAACCGGAACGGTGTTCCGGTTCGTTCCGCCCCAATTCGAGCACTGGGCTTGCGGTAAAAAAAGTTATTACTAAAACGGCCGCGAGAAAATCCTGGAAAATATTTTTAAGTTTCTAAAATGGCCGCTAGGGGGCGTAACTGCAATCTGGAATCTAAAAAGTACTGTTTATGTGAATTCCGCTATAACCTAACAAAAAAATGCTCGGTCTTTGAAGTCGACGATAATCTGAACCTTTTGTGGTTGACAATTTTTGCTGTATCTCTAAAAATGAAGTGGTGGAGGGTATTCAAAGGTTTCCGTAAAGAACACCCTGTATCTTCAAAACAACTGAGCCGATTTTAACAAACTTCTTAGTTGGCCACCCTGTACATTGCCACCATTTACTATACTGCATTCATTATAAGAAGGTAGTAGATGGCGCTGTGTTTAAAGATAGACACCTCGATAGACACACACAGGATAAATATAAAACCGCACCAAATTTGAAAAATACGAATATAAATCAAAAGATTTCACGTTTGGATATTTGAAATTGATATCTAATGTCAATTCGACAGTTTAGTTCGTAACCGAAACTACTAACATAACAAAATTAGTCACACATTTTATTTGTCGGAGTAATACAGACTCGTGGTTTAACCAATCACAGTGAAGGCCAAAGCTTCCCTATGATTTCTACCGCTACCTTCTTAAAATGAATAGAGTATAGTGTATTGGACGTTACCTACTGCCACAATAGAATGTTTTTTGTTTTTGTTTGTTTCTTTTTTTTTAATCATTGAAGGCGATTTATGTTTAAAAAAGTTTTATGATACAAGACAAGTACATATAAGAAATAATTCAAGAATGCTCCTTTGAAGACACTAAACCAAATGCAATATAAAAGACTATCCTGCAAAATCGAATCAGTAAAAACACATAGTCATACCTTAATATTCATAACTATGCCAGTTGGCCGATCCTTTATTTGGAATGGATGATGAAAACCTTTATCATTGTCACTATCATTTTCGTCCCCCGATGCACCGGATAATTCTCCCAACTCTTCTTTATTTGAAAGAGTTTTACAAAAATCAGTCAATTCCTCAATAGTTTTACCGCCAGCACGAATTGCGGCCAACACTTTTTCTTGAGCATGCCTACCCAAGGTAAGGGCAGCCGGTAAACTACCCGATTTCATCATTTGTATTGCATTCCGTCTTGCAATTTCCAAAAGTTTCTTTTTATCAATGTGCGTATCGTTATCTCGCGATCTGGAGTGATCTCTAAACCTTCTATCCCTCTCCCTGTCTGCTTCGGAATATCCACGATATCTGTCCCTCATGAACCACTTGTCGTCACTTTTATCACTGTCTTTGTAATACGAATTTTCCTTGCGGCTGTGCTTGTAATCTTCGTACGTTCTACTTGTCTCTTTTAATTTCGGCTCACTAGCATCTCGATGCCTGCTACTTTCCTTGACCTCTCGGTCCCTATCTTTAGACTTGTTCTTCTCTTCGTAATAATCTTTGGATTTTTCTACTTTGTGCTTACTTTCGTGTTTAGGACTCTTCTCAGACTTAGTTTTCTCTTTGCTGGCGCTATGATGAGATCGTTTCTTCTTTTTCTTTACCTTCTCTTGGTGCTTGTGCTTTTTTTTCCGTTTGGAGCTATGTGCCTCACTTGCGTCCTTCACAGATTTATCTGATAATTCACCATCTTCGTGTCCTTCTACTTTAATTTTATCACTAACTTCACGTATGGTAGCTTCAAAAATAGAGCTGAACTTTAAATTTGTAATGCTAATCTTAGAACTTGAATCTTTAACATCATCTGTTTGCTCGGTCGGTAAATCCTCAAGTTTAACCTTCTTTTCAGGCGAAAGACGTTCTTGTTTGATCAGCAATTCGGCTAAATCGACAGCAGAATGTTCACTAGAACTGCTATCACTACGTTTACGTTTCTTTTCTTTCTTTTTGTGCTTTTTATCTTTATGTTTGTGTTTCTTCTTGCTTTTTTTACGTTTCTTACTTTCGTCCTTCTCTTTTTTCACTATAATTGGAGGTTCCGCATCAAACGTGCTAAAAAGCTCCGATAATATTTCCATTGAAGACTTGGACGGTTCTGCAATTTTTGGCTTTTCTTCTTCCTCGGGCATTTTGAATGGGTTTACGCGATTAAACTCTCTAATTATCAATTAATACATTTATAAATTATTATACGATTATCACTAAGTTAAAAAATTACAATTTTTAGTTAAAATACCGTTTAACCTCAAAATCATAACAAAAGGAAGTAATGGATATCGCTTATCAGCAGTCCCCAACATTCTAGACTTACGGCTGTACGTAGCGGTAGCAGTGTGGAACCACACGCACGTGCAAATAGAATCCGACGTAACTCCGTAAAAGTGCGCTTGCGTTACGTTACCCGCTTTGATTTGAAAAAATAATCATAACGTATTGACAGTATCATTGAATAAGTAAAATTACTTATTCAATGATAGTATTTATAGTAAACAGTATAAGTTAAGTATGAAAAATTCATAATTCTCCTGTGGGAGGAATGGGATGGGATGTCAAAAAACAACCCTAAAGGGCAGTGCCGTAACTAGGCATTTTTCGAAGCGGTGCGGGATCAGGTTTTGGCGCCTTATCACTTACCATTGAGCTCTAATTAATAAAACACCGTACATTTTTGAGAGAAACTTTACACGAAATTTTAAAAGCACTGCGCTACTTAAATTTTAGAAAAATGCTTTGAATAATGAAGTCTCACTCAACGAAGAATAGAAATACATTTATTTATATTGTTTCCAATTCTCGCGTCAAATTTAGCTATGACATAGGGTACAAGTCGTAGAAATGATTGCGTTTTAGAAGGGTGCAAATGCTGGTCACACTAATACAGACTATTGTATAGATCACAAATAAAGTATTATTATTATTAGCTTAAATTTGCAGCCTTTTCCTACCGCTGTAACTTTGTTCTACAAGGGCCATTCAGAAAGTAGCAGACGGTTTGAAATAAAAAGTTAAGAAAGTGTAAGAAACAACTTTTATTATACAGCGTTGCCATTGGATGGTAAACGACGTGACGATTGCAATTTAATTTAAGTACTCGCTAAATATTGCACTCGCGTTTAGGCTGCACGTCTTCTATGGGTTTTCTGTTGAGTCACGCTTGGGATTTACTGTGGAGAATATATCAAATGGGGGAAGGTACTAACGCGACGGTTTTACGTTTAGCACCGCTGTACGCGCAATTTGTGAATTCTCACTTTGCCTGAATGTTTAGGCACTTCGCGGAATCCCTAAAGAGAAGCAGGCGAAGTGCGAAGTCGAGTTCCATTTCTCACTTTGCCTACTGCATTGGTCATTTCGCAAAATGCCTAGGGATTTTGCAAAATGCCGGATTTCGGAGTTTGCCGGTAACATAAGTATACATTTGGAAGCTACACGTACTCTTAGGCTATTTTTCAACATAGTCGCCATTCATATTTGAGGCGCTTATCATAGCGTGGTACAAGTGTTTTGATTCAAACTTTGTATACCCACGCCGTCTGTGGGGGCGTCAGAAGTGGGTACCGACAAAGGGAATGTGGTAGCCCCCTGACAAGATCTTATTGATTGTGGAGTTTAAACTGGCTAATAAAAGTACTGATCTACCAGACAAAAATGCGGTGAAATCCCTTGGATGTTCCGTTCATCCTAAAGGACCGTAAATTTAGTTTTAATTATATTTCACTGCACCCTGTATTCGTCTTTATCAAACTATATTAGAATGTAACCGCCGTTCTTGTCTTTTATGATTGGTCTATACGGTACACCGCGATGCCCATCCCATCTTAGTGCCCTCGGTGCTTCAGCAGGCGCGCTCTCCCCGCAGAGCGAGGTGCCGCGGCACCTTTGGCACCTACCTAATTACGCCACTGCTAAAGGGTCCCATTCATATGCAAATATGTACAGGGTCTTATAGGTTCAAAACTTAGCTGCCACCACAGTTCAGGAATTGACTACTGTTGCATTGACATGTTTCCCCATTCAGGAAATCTGTATTTTAGACCTTCTCTTATATATATGATTTTAGATTACAATTGCAAAATGGCGAAAGGAAATTACAGTAAAACCACTGTAACCTTAGAAAAAGTCTTTGCGCAGCTAATATAGAAGGCATGGGAAAGGATTGTACACTCCCAGTAAAAAGTAGTTCGTTTTTAGGCTCAGTGCGCTATTGATTATTGCTCAGTCTAATGTTAAGTTAAATGACTATTGTACAATTGAGTAATGTGCTATTAACTAGTAATAAATAATCGATAACTTTCTTAATTATATTGACATTAATCCCGTGAGTAACGTGCAAATACTACTTCTGTTCTGGTTGTAGTTTTTTGTTCCGAATGTACATTATAGCCGAACCTGGTAAGAAACGCCGATCAAGTGCGGACGAATCCGAACGTGCATGCGCAAATTTTCTAAGTTTACGATGGTTTTACTGTATCTACTTCCAATGCCCCTCCTCGGCCAATTTTATCAAATTTGTTGGGAACAGCTGTAGACCTTGCATCCTCTTAACGTTTTCAGGTGCGCTTTTTGTTTCCATAGCTATGCAAATATCAATCATGGTGGTATTAAAATCTTAACTGTTGGTGGTGGTGGTGACAAAGGAGTAGAAAACACTTCGAAACATTCACTATAATTTTATTTTGACGAATCTTGCTAATCGATTGTAAGTAAATCGCTATACAAAAACAGTTATAATGTATTGTACAAAAACACTAAAAAAACACAAAAAATAACTTAGCTTAAACAGTACTATAAACAACACTAAATGCTTAATATACATTCATTGTTTTATACAAAAAACGATTTTCTAAGGCATGGAACTCTTTGAGCAAACTGTTATGCACTATTATATTCAGCTCCGAACTATACAAACCCTACACAATTTGTGCAATTGACAAATCTGAAAGTACAGGCGAGAAACTGGCGGCTTTCCAAATTATTTATTATTTCTATAACTATTTATATCGGCGAATTAGAAAGGGTTACTGTAACAAATCATGATTAAAAACGTCTATTGTTTAATAACTGTACGTGCTTTTCTCTGTGGCGATGACTCGTCGGTGTCATCATCAAAATCTTCATCATGACAGTGTGTTACAGAAACCGGCGTCTCTGGCCGTACATGAGGGACCTGACTATTTGATCGATTGAGGACCTAAATGAGATACTGACTGTTTGCACACATAACGTAAATTCTAACGCACCTTCATCACATGAGAATTGTACGCTACGGGAGCATCATCAGCACTTGGCGCGTTATTGAATTTACGTGATCGAGGTAAGGGCGCTTCCATCACAAATCGCTGTTCGTGCGCTACTGTCGATTCGTGGGGCAACAACATTGCTGGGGCACGAAACATGTATGAGAATGGGTAGTAAATTAAATTGAGATGTGTCGCTGCATACAAATCTGCATACCGAACCACCTGCAATTATACTTTAGCTTACAAGAAAAATAAAGAAACACCAACCTGGGAAGAGAAAAAGGTTTGTCGTGATCCAGATCTAAATAAGCTTCCCATCATTCCATAAGACATATCCATTTTGTGTGTAACATCTCGAATGGCGGACCTTAGTTTTGAAATATCTGGCTTCTCGGTGGTGCTACTATCTAAATTTCTACATAATTAATTGTATGAGTATCTAATTTTGGATATAGCAATTTCACTTACTTATACATGTCACCTAGTTCAACATCAAGAGTTTGTAATTCGTCAAACAATTGACATCTATCAGTCCACACGTGCAACTCTCGTACCAATTCTGGTATAATTAAAAATGTTCGCCATCCACGAATTTTTTTGCTCTTCAAAATGTCACCGAAAATATGATCACCAACGTAGAGAACATCCTTTCCTTTTGCGCCGATAAATTCGGTAAAGACATCGCACGAGCCTCCAGAGTAGACGTGATCTTTTTGAAATGGTCCGGTATGGATACCAACCTTCAAAGCGCCGGTGTTTGTATCAACCTGCCTCAAAATTGTACCTTCACCAAAGAACAAAGGTTTTCTGGCGTCGACGACAATTATGTCAAAATAGGTTTTCCAGCTCCTGTGAGGATCTTCTGGCTAAAAGTGGAAAGGGTTTCACATCATAGTCTAAGTGTAAGCAGTACACCTCAATGGTCATGAAAATATGGCAAAATATACATTAAGCGAGATTTTTGAGTGTTCTACAAAGGTCAAATGAGCTTCAAAATTGGAAAAGTAGAAAAATTATTGCACAGAGTAGATTTGTGGTTTCCTTCTTCGTAATTAAGTGACGATAGTGATCAAAATACATTTGTTCTAGAACGTATGACAATGCCACTACGCTCTTTTGTAGTCAACAATTTAAAAATTAGTATTAAAACTAAATACTAGAAATTGGGTGTTTTTTCACTAAATTGCAGTTCACTATAGATATCAAATATGACAGAAAGTTAACTTTTTTCTGGAAAATGTGATCAAAACACTTTGTATAAATCGACCCAGAACTGAAAAATAATGATGGAAGTGTTTGACCATTTGGTACACCCTGTACAAGGTGGTGCGAATTCGTCGCTCCCCAGCGAGATCTTCGTAACAATTAGGGAAACAGTGTAGGTTAAATGGTGGCAAAGTTATCCCTTTTTGCGACTAAAAAAACGCATTTGAAATTTTGGAAAAAGCTTTGAAAATGAAAATGTCAAATTTTGTTTTTTACCTTCGCTCGCTTAGGCGGGGGGAAATGGACAGTTCTCGTCCACATTTTTTCGGACAATCTGAATCTGTCATCAGAATTTCCATAATACGCTAGATGTAAAGGCTTCAAGTTATACTATTTTCTTATTTTGTATGGACCACATACGTATTGAATTTCTACGAAATGAGATAGAGGACAAAAAAAGAAATTCATTTGAATGCATCGTTATCATAGCCATGTTGAGAAATGCTACATGCATTTAAACATTTAAAGTTAAAAGTTGCTTTATGAAATAGGCCCAAGATCACTATGTAAAAATTCAATGTGACATTCATTCGTTAATTGGTAAAATGCACAAAAACCCTTAAAAATCCCTAGAAACACCCTATACAGAGTGAGACAAATCTTCATTTGTTTGCCTATACATCTTATTTATTTTACGGGTATCCAGATTTATTAAATTCTCTCTAAAAAATTCAATAAAATATTTCGGGGGAGTTTCAGCCAAATTTGCTCTACCAACCCAACCCACTATACATTTACAAATGTCCATGCCCGAACCCGGATTCGAACGCTAATTTGAAGTCTCGTGGATCCTTCGCGAAAAATACATTTCCGTTTCCTTATGCTACCTGCTTTATTTGTCAACTGATACAATAATAGACTCTGGGTTCTTTACAAGTATAATGAAATGGAACGATAATCACAATACAAGCAGCGCAGCGCCATTGCTCAACAACTACTATGAGGGCGCCAGCTCCCAATAACATTTGCAATACATATAATTAGTTGCATAACTACTAGCACATAATACACTACCTCGGACAGACGGACACACTGTATATCAAACTGTTCCCTTACTACGTTGGGTATCCATTTTCTCTTTATATAACTTGAAATGAGGTGCAAGCAATGATAATCCACGTTTACGAACTCAAAACCTTCCCCATAAAATTCAATTTATTCAAAACATTTGATGTTGAAAAATAAGGCTTAGGCGGTATGTTTCGGCTAACAAGCCATCATCAGGCCTAAAAGTTAGATTTTGAGTTCTTAAACGTGACGTGACAGACAAAATTTGGCATGTAGATTCTTTGGGGACTGTCCGGACTGTAGGGGAGCACTAACCCCATTTTGGTTGAGACAGCAGTGTATCCTAGCTGTTTTTAATGATAATACACTTGCGGTTTTCGCGACCCTGTGTGTATTGTGATAGTTCCAGACTTTATACTCGCACTGTATAATGTTGCATAACTTGCTTCATTCATTAATGACTTTTTGGGCATATAATACGTACCCGTATTATATGCCCAAGAATGCAATCCCAGAAAATTGGCCGGTACCATTGAATAAGTAAGCTTATTCAATGCCGCTACATATTTGGCCCAAGGCGCTTAAGGGTTGCCTGCCCCCCTTTGATCAAAAGTTTGACGTTATGAAATGGTATCATATCTTACCCCCATGCAACATAAAAAAAGATAAAAACTGCCTATTTCCGACATTTTTACGAGAATCCAGTGGCGGGGTAACCACCACCTTTTCAGAGATTTGACCCAAAATTGGTATTTTTTAAATGCAACACCCTATATATCTTAACGTCAATTTTTTTAAATCCTTTTTCCCGGTTACATTGATGTATCACAACCTATATGTTGAGAGGTTCCACCCTGTATATACAACTTACGACGATACATACATTTTTGAGAGTTGGCAACCATGCAACTTCTAGGTGGGAAAAAGCTGCCTGCGCCATCTAAAAAGCAGAAACGGGGTCACGTTTTGGCATCTTGTCTTGAATGGCGGTCGTCTACGCGTCGCTCCATAAATGTTTCTTGTTATTTTGTGCTATTTAATGCAGGTAGTAATTTTTGCATTTCTTTATATCGTATTTTGTGTTTTGTATGCAGCATTTTATATTTTGTGTGTGTTTCAATCTTTGTTTTTGAAATTTATTGGTTTAACCGCAATGCACAATGAAATGTTACCGTTATCCTTTTGTTTGTAATTGTTTACGTTTTTGGTGGAATGTTTGCTTAATTTATGTTTATGTGTTTATTACTTGGTTTTCTCCCAAAAGTTACAGTCATATAAATTCATTTTATTTTAATATGTGGAAATTACCGATTCGTTTGGTGTATGTACTGACTTTGTAACTAACAATTTTCTCCGTTAATGAAGCAGTCACGGGAGTGATGAAAAACTGTACCCATTTGAGGTACGACACCTAATTCCATGATTGTCTTCAACATTCAACTGTAGGCTCAAAACCCCGAAACCAGGGGCGGGCTACCTATCTTACCGGAGCGGGATTACGCTAATCAAAGCTCTTCAGTTCAAAATCTATGTGCGATAAATGAGTTACGATTCGTAATTTCCACATATCTTGTTTTTAGTTAAATATGCCTACAAGGCCATCTTGCTTTTAACAAAAGGACTTTATTGCATCAAAATGAGTCGCATCCTGTGTATTTCACCCTTTCATAGAATCTTGGTACCTGCTTACTTGACCCATATTTCCCAAAACTTATTTTTTAACCTATGTTCCTCTTGAAGTCTACATGCTACTTTTTGTGATGTTATAATTTTATATTTATATTTTATGTTTTAAATCAGACGTTTCGTCTCCGGTTATCCATCATCAACATCAATAGATGACAGCTCATTATTAAACTCAGATAAAGACAATATATCTCTTCAAGCAATATCCGATGTAAATTTTTGTAAACTTCATAACTGGTTCAACACGAATTCTTTAACTCTAAATGGAAACAAAACAAGTTACATTATATTTCAAAATTACGAAAGTGTACCTCCAACTATACATGTATTAATCTATGGTAAGACGATCCAAAGAGTAACTTCTACTAACTTTCTAGGAGTTATAATAGATGAAATAAACTTTAAAACAAATTGTACAAGTATCTAGTCAATGGGTGTTTGTTTGCAGATGCAGAGTAAAATATGGACACACTTGGTTATCATTAAATTTAATAATTCACTAAACCTTGCCAAAGTAATCCAAGCCATTGGTGTTGACTTCATTACATTTAATTTACACAGTACTTCTATCGCTCTGAGGACCAGATGCAGCCGCAGTACACATAAACTCAATGACACTTACTCTGAGACTCTGAGATGAAGTGTGCCGGTGCTCAAATCTACCATTGACATTATAAAGCGCACACCAAAAATATCTCGCTTTGTATAGGTATATTTTGCCATATCACACGATATAGAGCGCTAGATTGCACATACCCGAGGTCCATGTGGAAAATCGAACAAATATGTCATGATGTTATTTGTGAACGTATAATCGCTGTTTGTTAGAAGAAAGGTTTTTGCTCCACTTTGTCGTAACCTGGTCAAGAACATCGGAAGTCGTTCGTCCTTCTTCACGTATTCGTCAAAATTTTCGGTTGTACAATTCTTTAAATTACCCTTATCATGAACCCAATCGACGGCACTTCTAACATCCTACAAAGACAATATGCACAATTCGAAAAGAAAGAAACCCACGTGGCCTATGAAATGATTGTTAAGAATTTCATATGCGACTTGAGTTTATAACGATTTAACTGTTTTGAAAGCTAGGTTGTAGGTAAAGGCGTGACCTTTAACTACCGCCTTTCTCACTAGAGTACCTGAAAGATAGACTCGAAAGACATAAACAACTCCCCACATTTAACTCCTTTTGGTGTTTCAGTGTATTGCGGTGAATTAGTAAAGAAATCTACTAAACATGCCAATAAGTAAGTCTCGGGTAGATTGAATAATGTGTTTAAAACGTACACCCTCGACTCATCGAGGGTTAAAAATTTGTTCGGATATAGTTCATAAACTTGGTAACTAAAATGTATACATTATTATCGCCTGGTTAATTTTGAGTCGAATCCTACTCACTGTTTTAAAAACTTAAATCCGTGAACGCATACTAAAATGTTACCGTAAGCATCTACTTTTAATAAGTTTCCGTAATGAGTGTCAAACCAAAGACCTCTAAAGACAAATAATTTTATAAAACATTAAAACGAATAGCTTCTTAAGCCTTACCTAACGGGAAATGATGGATCGTATTCAAATTCTCTAATTTCTTGAGGGTATCCAATCGAAACCATACGTTCTTTAACCAGATCAAAGCCAAGCCTTTCATATTGCGGTGATTTATATTCTGTAATGAGAAGTAATGGTTAGTCACGATAGGCAAACTGTATAATTATAAGCAATTAATTTTATATTCCAGTTCATGAACTTATATGCACCATTAATAATAGCAATAAAACTAATGCTATTTACATATCACCTAAAAGTGCCGGAAAGACAAATTGCACATAATTATATTGTTCATTAACATTTTATCTCGTATTTTATAAATTAATAATAATAATAATACGGATGGGGAAGGGAAGTGACATAGTCGCGATTGTTTCCGGTATGAGTCCATGGTATGTAATTATTTAGCTTTTAAGGGCGGAGTCAGGGGAATTGGAGTTTTCTGTATAAATTAATGGAATGTTCCAAAACACAGTTTCATAATAGATAAATCACTTGTGTTGATGGCCCTCATTAAAAGTTCCCAATGAGTGCCACTACCCACAGTAATCTCGAATGAAGTATTGCAACTAGAAAGCCAGTTTTGGCGTTTTGGAGCGTCGCGAATTTCATGTTATGAAGTGATGACTTATTGATGATACGTTCCCTCGTTTCTTCCAAAATAGTTCCATTAAATTAAAGATGAGTAGGGACGTGTTTCGGAGATAGCAGAGGGGCATTCGGTTTGGGACCACCAGAGCGTTAGATGCGTGGTTAAAAATAATTAGTTTTTTTTCGGGCGTTAATTAAGGTAAAGAAACCATCAGCATGGGGAGACAGCTCCACTTGCTGATCTTCCACCTAACCACGAAAACATAATTAACCAAAAGAAAAGAAAAAGATGACAAGCTGTAACAATTACCTAGACAATGTAAATATGTTTATTACCTAACTATAATATGCCCTGGCGAGAGGATGAAAGAAAAAGTACAATACAGATACACACAGTGGGAATAAAGAAAAATGCTATAAGAGTAGGTAAAAAAAATAAAACTGGAACCAAACGAAACTTGTCATTATTATTATATAGATCAGCAATTTTATACCTGAAAGATCTTTTACAAATATGTTCTGTGTTTAATAATTGTTTATAACTCCTTGATTGGATTAATTGGATTTTGTTACTTTTGAAACAAGTACTCTGCACTCTTTGAATTAGTAGATAAGTTTAACTCCGGAATACAAATAATAATCAAGCCGCTGACTACTGAGGTGCATTCGCATTAAACTGAATTTATCTGGACCCCTAACAAACTTCACTAGCTGAATTCATTTACGTTTTCGGTTTCAGTTTGTCAAATCCAATGTTATTGTTACAGATCCAGAGAAAATGAGTATAATGGCGACGTAGCCTTACAAATATTGATTTTAATATTTAAATTTGGCGCCATTCGCGCAAAAGCTGCTGAGAAAATGCACGAGATGGCGCGTCATTTTTACATTGTAATAGAAAGTACCGCAATTATCCGCCATTTTTGGGCAAATTTGCTGCCAACTGAAAAAAATTGACAAATAAAATCTGAATAGCTGTAATTTTTTATAACCTAACCTCATAGTACTGTCATGTTTTATAAAAATATATACAGATATCTCCAAACAGGTGGAACAATCCCTAACATTAAAGTTACTAGAATCTGGTAACTTCCGCTATTTTTGGGCAAAAATCATGCGTTCTCTCTCCAACACACGAGCCCAATGGATTGCGGTACTTTCTATATTTAGTGACTTTAACATTGTATTACAGTGTTGTTTTATGGTTTATTTTGGTTAGAATTCTAGTTCTGTTGACATTTTCAAGTTGGCAAGAGAGTTACGACTGAAAAATATTAACTACAATGTATACCACAGCCATTGAATTATAAACAACGTAACTGGAAGGGAAACCGGAATAGGCGACAAATGCGTACCGTTGAAGCCGTGCGATAGAATGAGGTGGTGGTATAACTATTTCAGTCACACTCATTGCGCCGAGCTTGGTTATTAGCACGCCTGATAGAAGCAGAAAATAAGACTCTTTTATGTAAATGAATTTCATGTTACTAGTGGGAAAGAGATAAAGATACCACCACTATTCTGGCTTCACTAATAATATGCTTGTTTCCATTCCATACGAATATATAGTTCAATGACCACAGCTGATTCGTCCGTAAGTTCGTCCACCATTTTGGAGCCCACTGACAATTAACGTTTGCAAAACGTTGCATGTTCTGCATGTATTGCCTTATCATTTAAAGAAAAACCGTTGATTTGTTCAACGTTTATTAATGTATAGTATTTAAAGTAATTTTACACAATAAACAATTTTTCTGTGCACAGATTTTGGACTGTCAGTGGGCTCCAAAATGGCAGACGAGCCTGCTACCTTAATCACTGTACTACTGTATGAAAAATGGTGACGTGTAGTCATGTAAGAGTTCAATCTAATAACCAGATGTAACAATAGGGTGAACGAGTCACTCTTTCAATGCACATAAAAGTGAATTCTTCCCTGTTTCAAGAAAACCAACTTTTAAATTGTGAGAGTTGTAATTTTTGTGGTATGTTAAATATGCTTGCTCCTTTGTTTGATCTTGTTAACAGAGTCTAATTGTAGTTTGCATGTATTGATATGTATAGTATGTTGAATTGGATAGGTTTATTTTTTGTAAAGGAGCATTTACCATAGTTTCCAGAGAGGGCAGGACCAGATTCTAGGTGGGATTAAACCCCGGCTGACTATCACCAGGCTACGGGCCTGTAACGCGTTACCTTTAACACTGATACAGCAATGAATTATAGTCATCCGGTACCAAATGATTAATATACTACCCGCCATTACAGTGTTAAGAGACAGTGTGGTCATACGGTGGTGTTATTTTTTATTGGTAGTTGGGAGATCCGCCATGTATTGGCCAAATATACAGGATTGGTGGAAATTAACCTGGAAACCAAGGTGATGAATTTATCTTGCTGGACATAAATGTGGCAGCATTATTGTAAATTAAACCAATCAGCTCAATGATAAATTGAAAAAAAAAAACATGGCCGACATTATGACCACACAGTCACTGTACCCGCCATAAGCATCTGAACACACAGTTTACTTTGATCAATTTTGATTCGCTGCTAAACTTTATTTTTGGTCTCTCAGGTCTCTCCTTATAATGAAACATGGTATTTTGGTGACTGAAAAATGATAAGATTTGAAAAACTTCCACATGTGTGTATCTTTGTTGTGTACAAATATTTCCTATTGTATTAATTGCCTTAGGTTAGTACACATTGATACAGGGTAACAACATTTTGTCATATCTTTAAGTGCTTTGAGATTAAATTGATTAATGGATATTTTACAATCGATACACTGAAAATATTTGTTCAATTTTCTGTGAAAGGTCAATATTATTATCAAGTTAGTTCAAGATATGATTAAAAAACGATCAATACAGATGGTTTCCATTGGAAGGGAAGTCAACATCTTACAACTTGGCAACTGATTGAATTAACCCCGGAATTAAGTAATATCCCTAGACCTGTATGGCGTATGTCGTATCTGTATATTTAATTCATTTACTGCTGCTTTGGTATTTATTTATGATTTTGGAATAACTTTTTATTACCCATTTCGCTAGCTAGGTATTTCCGAAAATTACAGTCATTGGGTAAATGTTTTGTATGCAGTATAGTTGATTTTTAAATCCTTGATGTAATTGCGAATACTATCCTACAAACCCCATGAAAAGCATCTAAGACATGATCGGTAAACAGTTCTGCTCAGTATTCCTATGAATGTTGAAATACTTGACATAATAATTAGAGCAATTTATAAAAGTGTTTACTGACAAGCAGTGTTGTAAGAATGCAATCACCACAAATAAGTAAATGTTATTGTTTCACTTTATCTCAACTTTAACCTTTGTTTGACGCAGATGCGATACTTTTACTAACTCCTATTTGTTCCAATTTGTATCATAATTATGACAACGAAAATATCTGTGTTAACTCTGCTGCCTTACCTGCCAAGGTGTAATCCATATCGAAGCCATAGAACTTGATATTTTCTAGATGCAAACTTCGGTTCACAAAGATCCTGAAAATAAAATAAACAAATCAGTACCTATTAGGTGAAGTAGCTAGTTTCATAAATAAATAAAACTGAACAAGTTTGCATGACGCTACTAATCGTTCATTAAAATTTTATGCATTTGAAAATGTCACTCAAGGATCCACAATTGGGCCTGTATTATTCTGTTTCTTCATTTCGTATTCATAACGCCACCTGTTGGTCACCGTAACTAGTAAAATAAACACATACAAATCCTTTCTAAACTCCCCTAAGCTTGGGGTGAAATAAAAGGAAACCTTTCACATCACAGAAGGCATTTCATGTGAAATCCTGATTGAATTACTGTGGTATAGGTCCCTTATGATTATAGATGTTTGACAAACAGAAACAAAATTATAACTGTATTTTTTCTTTGAGAACAGGTGTTTAAGCAGATATAGGTAAGCAGGAAATGTCATACGGCAAAAGTGTCAATAAATGAATGTAATAGAAGCTTTGATAGCACGAATGAAAATCCTCTTGATTACTTAAATAGTTAAATATTTATATTTGTAAGTACCTAGTCCCAGTAAAAAATAGATTTTGTAAAGATGTAAAAGAGTCCAAAATTTCTTTCACTTTGTGTAGCTGTAGAATGAATGGCCAATACAAAAATAACCATTAATAGTTCAATGTGATTAGCTATTTTTGTCAAAACCGATGGAGCGTTTCACAAAGAATGTTTTCGTCATCTCGCAGTACAAATATTTATATTACCACTCAAAAGTTAAACTTTAAAGTACCTATACATAATTCTGAATATGTAGCATCAATGAAATTCAAATGGAAAACTTATTTCCGGCCGAAAAGTTCGTTACTGTCGTCCTGTGCTTTTTGAATGCTTGTTGTTAGCTTATCTAGTAATTTCAACATAGTTTCACACATATGCACTCTACATAATTTTTCCATATTAAGCTTATACAGTGTGTCAACATTTCTTATGCTCCACTAAGTATATCAGACATAGACCAAATAACGGGTTTTGCAAAATTCTGATCCGATTTCAAATATCATTTTAAATACTTATATTCTCATTTTTTCAAGTGAAAAAATGAAAATTTACCGTGGAAACCATTAATTTCTCGTAATATCTTGTTGGTGTCAATAAACAACCTCAACAAAAGCAATATTACCACCTTAAAAAACAAAATGCTAATAACAATTGAGAATCGAGGCTGTCGACGTCAAAACATTTATGTTTAAAATACCATAAAATAAAGTAGTTTTAAACAATGAAAAATTAACAGTTTTCACAAAATTCGTAAATACGAAATCGGTAAATTTTCGATTATCTCATTTATCTTGGTAATTTAAAAAAATGACATTAAATTTAAAATGATGTTCGAATTCGGCTCAAAATTTTGAAAAACTAATTTAACCTTCTACCTATTTCTAGTTGTCTCGACGACATAAATAACCATAGCCTTAAGTGTGCCACTTTTTTTGGAATTTCAGCATCCTTTTAACTTCTACGGTTTTCAAGATTTTGATACTGTTCACCTTTATCCCAAAAGCGCCCTGTATAATCAATATCTCTAACCTACCTAGTATTTATATTTCCGAGAAAGATAATGATTCACATAATATGAATCTACAGCTATTTGTCTCAAGTAGTTTGTAGTTTACACATGCTATCAGCTACTTAACTAATTTAACTATGTATGAGAGTTGTTTAATTCATTTTACAACAGCTTACAAGTTACAATGTTACTTTACTGCAACGACCTACTTTAGGAGTAAGAACACAGTTTTAGTTGTATAGCAGGCTATATACCGAGCGTTAAGTTAATTGGATAAATGGAAACCTAAACTTCACGAACATAAGAAAACCTGCTACCATTTCTTTGCTCAAATCAGGGCCGCTATTACCCTACACCAGCCCATTGAAACATTTGCATAATTTTCAGACACGTACGGCAATCAAATCAGTGTGACCAAAAACTATTTCTCTTCGGCATACAATTAAAAACCCGCTTTGGGCCAGGTCTCCAGAGCGCGCCCGGCCTCTGGGATATTTACCCCCCGCCCTTACAAGGGTCGATGAGAACAGACAAAGATTAATTTTAAAAAACCAAGAGAAATGCCAGAAAATACGATGTTTATAGGCGTTGGCCGGTTATGAAAAACGTTTAACCATTCCGTTATCGCTATCGGTCGCATGACTTACTCTCTTGCCTTCTCCTCACGACGCGACGGTTCTCAAAATTTGAGACGAAATTGAGATTAGTATGGAAACTTACGTTAATCAAGAGGCACCAGTTAAATCTTAAGAATGTTTGAAAACCTTGACATTAGTTTGATTCCAAAGGATCCAAAAGGAATAGGGATACGCCAGGATGTCTATCCTAAGTTTTCGACCTCAAGGGCCGTGTGCCAACTTGAAGGGGGAGCAAAAACCACAACATTTTCGGCCTTTTCCAGTTTATTGCTTATATCTCGTAAACTAAGAATATTTTTGTATCATAGTGCATTCCAAATTTGTAGGGTATAAAATTTCCTAAAGTCAGATTGAGGGCAGTTGTCGTTGTCGCATGCTGTGCCTACGCAGAGCAAAACAGCGACGCGACGAGTCGTGTACTTGCAGCGGATTATGTACAGCAATTGTTCTGGGACAGCATCATCGTGGTGATGCACTATCAATGATATTGCATTTTCTTTTCCTTTCACCAAGCAGAACCCTGGCAACTGTAACTGGGTTTCCCTATGCAGAAATTTGAAAGAAGGCAGAATCTAAATTTAGGTACGAATGTAACCTTGAGCGTAAGGACGTATGTGTGTTTTAGCATTGCAAGGAAATTAACTGTTTCATTTATTATCATCCAAGTTAGTATTTTATTCAACCGCTATTTAAGCGCCACAGTACAAATAAGTTTGGGAAGCCCTTAATAGGATAATACTGCTTTACGTATGTACAGGGTGGCCAACTAAGAATGCGAGGTACTGTATCTGTGAACCTATTCATCGTAGATACTTGCGGTAAAAAAAGTTATTACTAAAACGTAAACGGCCACTAGGAGGCGTAACTGAAATCTGGAATCTACAGAAGTGATGTTTCTGTGAATTCCGCTATATTAACTTAACAAAAAAAGTCCGGTCTTTGAAGTCGACGATAATCTGAACCTTTTTTGTTTAACAATTTTTCCTGTGTCTCTAAAAATGAAGTGGGGGGGGGGGGTATTCAAAGGTTTCCGTAAAGAACACCCTGTATCTTCGAAACGGCTGAGCCGATTTAAACAAACTCGGGGTACTTTAAAAGAGCTAGCCTTCAGCTACAAATATTATAACATTTGAATTTTTGTTAGTTTCACATATTACCGCTTGAGGGCTTTTTTCGACATTCCATCAGAAATGGTTAATTTTCTCAAAAAAATTAAATGCATTGGTTCGATTTTTTTTATCTTGAAACATATATATGACATAGATACATAGATAGATATATATCGTGATGGTCAGTATTTCGAGCTTTTACGGCGGCATTAAATGCTTACTTTTTTAAATCGACCCACCTTAGGGTCACAAATTATATAATAAAAATAATTCCGGAAAAATTAGCTTAATAAAATAAAATTTTGAGGGTTTAAATTTTCTTTGGCCTAAATTTTAGGTTCTATTCTATTCTATTCTATCAGGGGAGCCTTTACAGGCAGCACTTAGGCTCATCAACGGCCCATTGTGCTAACACCCTCTCTAAACAACCAAAGCTTAGAGCCCGTTCCCTTCAATGAAGGATAAGACCCTATTTAGCCTTAGTTTCCTCACCTCCCTCGGTTCCAAGTAACTGTCACCGAGGAGTTTATGTCTGTCCCTGATCAGAGCATCACAGTAACAGACTACATGCTCGGTAGTTTCCTCTACCTCACCACAAAACCTGCACGCAGGGTCTTCCACAAGCCCAATATTGTGCAGGTGATAGTTGACATCCAGTGTCCCGTGAAGACACCGACGATCTTCCTAATCTGACTTCTGTTTAGGTTTAGAAGCTTAGAAGACTCAGATTTGCCAAGAGGCCCTGTTAAAAAGGTCTTGGACTGTCTGAGTCCAGCTGCCTGTTGCCATTGAGCCTGGAATTGACTGGTCGCCCAGTTCTTAATCCTGACCCTGACAACTGAGGGAGCAATTCCAAGGGTGGGCTCAGGCCCGACAAGGACCCCACTACTGCCTTCGCGAGCCAACTCGTCCGCCCTTTCGTTGCCCCCTATTCCAGAGTGCCCCGGCACCCATATCAAGCTTACCCTATTAGACTCACCTAATCTATCTAGGGTTCGCCTACAGTCAAGCATCGTATTCGAGCGGACCCTGTCAGCTGACAGAGCCTTTAACGCCGCCTGACTATCACTACATATGTATATATGCTGGTTACGATAACCTCTACGGAGGTTTTCTTGCGCACAGGTCGTGATGGCTAGCACCTCTGCCTGAAACACAGTACTGTGCTGGCCAAGGGAGAGGCTGATGCCTACTCTCGGCCGGTCACCGTGTATACCCATGCCCGTTCCCTTTTCCGTTAGGGACCCATCGGTAAACCACACGAGCCCCTCAGGTTTTAGGTTAGGAACAAGATATCGAGATGCGGTTTTCGCGAGCTTGTTTAGGCATCATTTAGCTACTTTTTCATGAAAAAAAATCAAACCAATGCATTTAATTTTTTTGAGAAAATTAACCATTTCTGTCCGAATGTCGAAAAAAATCCTCAAGCGGCGATATGTGAAACTAACAAAACTTTAAATATTATAGTATTTGTAACCGAAGAATAACTCTTTTTAATTAACCCGTGTTTGTTAAAATCGGCTCAGCCGTTTCGAAGATACAGGGTGTTCTTTACGGAAACCTTTGAATAACCCCCACCACTTCATTTTTAGATACAGGAAAAATTGTCAAACAAAAAAGGTTCAGATTATCGTCGTCTTCAAAGACCGGACATTTTTTTGTTAGGTTAATGTAGCGGAATTCACAGAAACATCACTTTTTTAGATTCCAGATTGCAGTTACGCCCCCTATCGGCCATTTCAGAAACTTAAAAATATTTCCCAGGTTT